AATGATATAAATTGGACCGAAATTTTGCTTCGAAAAATAGGAGGTATTCGGGATAATGCATTTCGAATAATACGCTGGTATTTATATTAGTTTATATAGAGACGGGAAAACGGGACCGTTAGATCAACTTCGGATAATGCCGGGTATTCGAATAATCTGTTGTCGAATAACCGGGGTCGGACTGTATATCTATAGGATAACTCTGATCTGTCTATTTGATATACAGTCTAACTTGCTCTTGGGACCATGTGTATTTAGGGACTTTTGTCTTTAGCAACATCTGCAATGTCCCCCTGATCATTTTCTCTGTATATCTAATCGTATAATATGTTAAGCGACTTTTGCTCAACACAACCAGCGACCGCTAATTAGTCAGCAAATTAAGATCAAATTTTTCATCTAGCGACCACTTTTACCCATCAAGTGTTTGTGCTTTTATAGAATGCCACCTAGTAATGTCACAAGTGTCAACAATCAAAACACAATATTATTATAAACATCTGAAAAACTTTATTTCCTAAACCGTTTTTAGCGTATGTTAATGAAGTGAAGTATGCCTGTGATAAGTATTATCCAATAGAATTGATCAAACAAAGCAACGCTCTGGCCCTACTGTAATGGTGTAAACGCTTCTCTTGTTGATAATTGGACTGTATTGAATTGACCTTGAACTTGATCAGCAGTTAATTATCCCCCGCCGAAAAAAATTTTCGGCGGAGGATATAGAAATAGTCTCCGTCCGTCCGACCTTCCGTCCTTCCGTCCGACATTTTTGTCCGGAGCATATCTCTAAAAGTATTTGAGTTATCAACTTGAAACTTCATAGGTGGATAGACCTCATTGAGGAGGAGTGCAGTGCACAAGAATGATAACTTACCTTTGCATGATTTTTGAGTTATTGGCCCTTTGTTTTTTTTTCAAAATTGATTTTTTTGTCCAAGAGCATAACTCCAAAAGGCCTATGAGATATTAACATGAAACTTCATAGGTGCATAGATCTCACTCAGGAGGTGTGCAGTGCACAAGAATGATAACTCTACCTTTCATAATTTTTGAGTTATTGCCCTTTGTTATTTTTCAAACCTTAATTTTTCACCTGAGTGGAGCATTAACTCAAAAAGTTTTGAGATATCAACATGAAATGTCATAGGTGGATAGATCTTATTTGAGGAGGAATGTTCCTTCTCGTGCGCAAGAATGATAACTCTTTTTCCTTATACAATTTTTAGCTCGACTTTCCTATGAAAAGGGGAGCTATCCTACTCGCCCGGCGTCGGCGTCGGCGTTGGCGTCACACCTTGGTTAAGTTTTTCGTACCACCCCACTTTATTTCCAGAAGTATTACAAGTATGGCTTTGAAACTTACCATACTTGTTCACCATCATAACCTCCATCTACAGACAAGAGTACATAACTCTGTCAAGGTTTTTGACAGAATTATGGCCCTTTTTTGACTTAGAAAGTGTATTGAGCTTGGTTAAGTTTTTTGTACCACCTCACTTTATTTCAAAACCATTGGAGGTATTGCTTTGAAACTGACCATACATGTTTACCATCACGACCTTCATCAACAGACAAGAGGACATAACTCTGTCAAGGTTTTTGACAGAATTATGTCCCTTTTTGACTTAGAAAATACATTGAATATGGGTAAAATCCACTTATTGCCTTAACTCTTTGAGATATTGCTTTGAAACTTTTAATGCTATTTCACATCATTACCCCCATCTGTACGCAAGAGAAGGTAACTCTGTCAAGGATTTGTTTTAAAAATTAAGGCCTTTTATCGACTTAGAATCTTGGTTAAGTTTTTAGTACCAGTCCACTTTTTGACTGAACTGTTTGAGATATTAATTTGAAAGTTGGAATACTTGTTTACAATCATGATTCCCAAACATGTCCAGGAGAAGGTAATTCTGTCAAAGATTTTATTTGAATTATGGCCATTGTTCACTTTAAAAATACAGAGATTCTTGTATTGCCTTTTACTGCAAAAACTTTTTTTATTGGCAAGCAATAAAAAAGTCGAGCGCGCTGTCTTACGGACAGCTCTTGTTGAGTTATTGCCCTTTGTTTTTTTTCATGCTATTTTGTCCAGAGCTTATCTCAAAAAGTATTTGAGGTATCAACTTGAAACTTCAAAGGTGGATGGATCTCATTGAGGAGGGTGCTGTGCTTAAGAATTGAAAAACTCTACCCTGCATTATTTTTGAGTTATTGCCCTTTTGTTATTTTTTTACAAAATTAATTTTTGTCCAGAGAGCATAAATCAAAAAGCCTTTGAGATATCAAAATGAAACTTCATAGGTGCATAGATCTCACTCAGGAGGTGTGCACTGCACAAGAATGATAACTCTACCTTTTATCATTTTTGAGTATTGCCTTGTTATTTTTCAATTCAATTTTTTTTTTCTCAAAAAGTATTTGAAGGTATCAACTTGAAACTTCATAGGTGGATAGATTTTACTGAGGAGGAATGCAGCACACAAGAATGATTAACCTACTCTGCATTATTTTTTCCAGTTATTGCCCCTTTTTTATTTTCAGCCATCAGTATTCACATAGGTTTCAAATCTGTAATCACTATAGCATCAGTTTTCATTACCAAAAGACCTCTTAAAATGGAGTTATTCTGCTCTACTACATATACATTCTTCCAATGAGCAAACACATTCGGCGGGGGATGACTATGTTGACATGGCTCTTGTTAAAATAATCATCACAATTCGAGGTAGGTTGCTTATTTCATTTACTAAATACACGTTTGACTGTATATTTTATAGGATAACTCTCACAGACTTACAGTTGTAATGAGTCCTGATGAGGAATATGATGAGAAAAGAAAGACGAAAGAACAAGATAAACTCCGGTCATGTATACAAAAACTTAGTGATACAGATAAAGAGAAGATATTTGAATTAGGTAGGTTTGTTTATCAGTAGTTATCTTGCAGGTTTATTAAAGAACTGTCCCAGCATCAGAGATTTTTTTGTAAATCTTTATACATTAAGTTCCAAAATAGAGATTTTTTGAGTCCAACTATTGAAATAAAACATACACTATAATTTGAAATCCCTTAAAATATTACTCCAATTTCAGAATATTAAGTCCATTTTACCATATCATTGACTGAGGAAGAATTAGTTAATCTTTGTCATTTCTTACATAGACCTGAGTGGTCTTTTTTTGTCAAACTTTCATTGTTGATACATCATCATTAACCTTTGCACAGGTAAGGTAAGGGGATAAACATGTTATTATAAAAACATGTGTCTGAAAATTCATAAATGATGTATTCATGAGGGGTGGAAATCCTACGCTCTGTTTGACAAAGTCATAAATATGTTTATCATAAACTAATACTTTTCCCCAAGTATGGTTTGAGTCCAGTAGGTTTTAGCATATATTTATAATCAACATTTAGACTTTGGTCTTAATAATGGACAGATTCCTTTACGACATGACACGGCACCACCTGGTAAGCTCTATTGGTAGAGGGTTGGACTGTGAATTGGCTGACCCAGGTTTGTTGCACAAACTGTATAGACTATAGGTCATTTTTCTTTGTCATTGATCATGAAAATCCTTTATACTGTCATTCACACTGTACATCTGCTCTACCATGCACAGAAGTAACCAGCAGTTCCTTTGTACTGAAAAACTTAAATTGACAGTTTTTGCCTAGCAACAATTGGGCGGCTGAATTTTTGCGTTGGTGAATTTAAAGTGGCTAACTGCCTTCATCCGGAGCATAATTGCAAAAACCAAATAAGGACATATTTTTTGTACACTGACAGGTAAAGAGCTACAGACAACACAGAATGCTGTAGAGGATTTGTCTTGTTTGCCATGTATCAGACTGAATGAAATTGACAAGAAAATTGTGTTAGAGCCAACAGAATCTACTGAATTTGGTATGTGTAAAAGAATAGGCATATAGATGGCTGTTTTTTTAGTACAGACATTTGATTAAAAAATACTTTTTTAATCATTTAGGGACTATAATTATTAATAAGGAAAAAATGTGTTAGAAAATGATCTTTATGGTGATTGCATTAGGGGAAAATAAACATGTAGAGCAGGGCCAGCCTTTAAATTATTTTTGTTTCTCCTCTCTCGACCCATGCCAGTTTGGGTAGGCTAGTTAGGTAGATAGAGTATTTTTTTTTATCCAAATTTTTTTTCTGTCTAAAATTATAGCAAATTCAAAACTAATTGTGAATGCTCAGCATCTGTTTAGAAAAGTTTAAAATTTAGAACCATAATTTCAAAGATTTATTCAACATTATCCATGTTTAGTAAAAAAAAAATTTAAATCTTTTGCTAAGGCTATAAATTTTTCATGGTAGCTGTGATTTTTGTGGGTAGGTAGTGGGAGAGGAAACAAACAATATTTTATTTTAGGCCCAAGTTTTCGAAATTTTAGGAATCTGGAAAAATGTATTGCAAATAATCTGAATTAATTATTAATACAATGTTTATTATGTTTGTGCGATGAAAAGTGCCATAAATTGTATTAAATTTGGTGAGTTTGGTGAAAATATGGCAATTAATAAAATAAAATTTAATAGGATTGGAGAAGATATTGCAAATTGTCATAAATTTGCTGGAATTAGGAAAATGTGTTGCAACTTGTCTGACTGAAAATTAGAAATTTTTAGGACATAAGAAACTTCATGCATTAAAATAGAAATATTTTTACAATTCATTTCTAGACAAAAATTAAAGTACAGAACATTCAAAAATAAATTGTTTATCTCAGGTTTGTAAGCAAAATCAGATGGTAAAAAAAATCTGCCAAATATGATTTATTTTGCGTTATATTTCAGATGGAATTCCTGTTCAATACAGTGCACAGCCGACAAACCAAGTGGCGTATATCAAAATGGTGTCATTCCTTGACCAAGTACCAGAAGAGATGAAGATCTATGTACCACTGTTCACAAATATCATCACTAAGTAAGACATAAAAAAAAATTCAATAACTACTTTGAAAAAAAAATGAGAAGAAACTAAAACAAAAACAAACAAAAAATAACAAAAAAACAAAACTGTGCAGTTTATATTATAAAGTATTTCAATACAGTATTCAAAATGGAAAGTACATTCAGTGTAGTTATTTTATATATTTAATAAACAAGGAAATCATGCAAAATTTGCTGTCAACAATTCTTTCATGATATTTGAACCTTCTCATTTACTGTAGATTATTCAAGAGTGTTTTGAGCTCAACTATTTGTGGAATAGGGAAGACCTATTGTACTCATCTGGGTGTTGTAGTTGCCGTAACACTTTGGTTAAGTTTTTACTTTCAAGTTGGTATCTCCTAAACTACTGAAGGTAATGTGTTGGAACTTCACACACTTATTTAAGAGCATAATACAAGGTCACTTTCTAAGGCCAATAACTCAAACCTGCATTTTGACAGAATTATGTCCCTTTTTGAACTAAGGAAAATTCTACATTATCCAGCACCGAAAAATAATCAATATTTTCTGTTGAAATCTTGTTGATATTTTTTTTCCAGAATGGGTGCAGGTATCTACGACTATAAACAGCTCTCACATCAGATAGAGTTGTACACAGGTGGTCTTAATGCCCAGACTCTGGTGTCACCAGACCCCTCTGACTCACTGGGCTATGACCAGGTATGGTGTCATTTTGATTTAGTCTTGTGTATTTTTTTTACTGTCTTGACATCTTTATCTAATAGCTGCAATAGCAACAACTTCCATTTTAAGTTTCAATTTACGTAAGCTTCATTTTTATTTCTGTGAACGCGTGGCTAAGAATGCCAGCAATTTTCTATAACTAAAGTTATATAGATGGTTCAAGTCTGACGCATAAGAAGGTCATAAGAGCTAAAAGTTGGTTTTAAAAAAGAAAATTTAGAAAAAACTTTTAGATATTAAAATTCTATAATCCTTTTGCTGTCTGGACTTTATTTATAAAATGACAGTGTTTGCTAGGGTAAATTCTAAGAACTAGAACTACTGTATAATAACAGTTAGGTAAATTCTTTTGAAGTGACTGTAGATCATTTCTCCCGCTCTGCTGTGGGTTTGAATCCTGACAGAGACTGAATTGTTTCATGTGAAGAAGCTATTCAGCTAGCCTATAAAATGTTAAAAGTTCTGCTCAGGTGCCTCTTTGTCCCTTACAGGGTTCGTACAGTCTTAAAAAGTGCTTAAATTTGAGTCTCTTTCTTAAAAAGTGCTTAAAAATGTAAAAAAGTGTTTAAAAAAGTCCTTGAATTTGATTACTCTTTTGAAAAGTTCTTAAAAAGTGCTTAAATTTGATAAAAATGTGCTTGAAAATATTTGAATCACAGAATGACATAGTTTTGATAAAAATCAACGGTTAACAAAATAAAAAAAGATCCAATTTAGTATCAAAATCAATGAAATGTTTACTCAAGGTAACAGTAAGTGGACAAATTGCAGTTGTTTTGAACTAATCTGTATTTGATGCACCCTTTGTTGTTCTTGTATAATGTCAGAAAATGTGTATTCAACAAAAAATGATAACAAACTATCCATCATATTTTGAAGATTGTGTCGGTATATGTGCAACAAATGTGCTTGAAAAATGGGAAAACGTGCTTAAATAGTGCTTAAAAAGTCCTTGAATTTTGGCATTGGATGTCTGTACGAACCCTGCCTTAAAATACTACACGAAAAACACCTGAGGTCTTCCTTCACCAGTCATGCTGGAAAGTCGCCAAATGACTCTAACCCTGTCATAATGACTTGATATTAAATAAAACGTTTCTGACTGTGCCATTGACTAATCATTAACCTTACTGGGACCAGTATTTCAAAACTTAGAAAATTATCACCTTACTCGGCAATTCACTTTTACAATTTTTGAACAAAAAGGAAAGCCTTTATAAATACATCTTCTTAGCAATCGTAGGACACCTTTTGTTCACAATCATTCTTTTTTCAGGGTGTCCATTTTTCATCCTACTGCCTGGAAGGAAATTTTGATAGAATGTTAGATCTGTGGACAGAAATATTTGACAGGTAATTGTTTTGTAAGGGCTGGAGAATGTCAGGATGAAATTTAAGTGTTAGTGGGCTGAATGCGAGTGAAAAAAAAGTATATTGTAGGTGCATAAAGGATTAGATTAGAGAGCTTATTTTAAAGGTACATTATGCCTCACAATTTGATAAATTTTCACTTCTTTAAAAAGGGTAAAACATGAAATTTATTATTGTTTAAATAATGGATTTAGGACTCATTAGATGCTTGTTATCTGAAGACGATGGCGCTTAAAGTGAAAATCATTTGTCATAACAGTAGAAAAATGTAAACAAAGAAGTATTTTCACTTCCATACGAAATACTTTATAATCACTATAACTGTTCTAATTGCCAAAAAGCTATAGAAGAAAAAAGATGGTTCATGCAATTGGCCAATAAGTAACTTTTTAAAAACTAATAAAAGTACACCAAAAATAAAAAGCTATTGAGAAATTAAAATAAAAGCATTTCTTGGGCTTAATGGGCCTTTAAGGTGTGTGACTAAAGAGTTAAGTATCAGGTTTAAGGCTTGGCTTTGATGAGTGGGAGGGGTTGTTTGTGCAATAGATTTTTGTTCTTGGAGGCCAAGAAATTAACATGATGTTTACTTTATCAGGTAAAATTAACATGATGTATAGTTTAAATCATGTCAATTTAACATGATGTTTACTTTATCAGGTGCATTTAATATGAAGTAACGTTTATTAGGGCAAATTAACATTTTTACTTTTTTTCAGATTAAATTAACATAATGTTTACAGTGGCGAGTCAAATTAACATTTCTTTTCAGGTCAAAACTATAATGATGTTTTCTATTTCAGGTCAAATGTACGTGACAGTGGTCGCCTTCAGACACTGATCAAAATGTCTGCGGCAGAGTTAGCGGCAGGCCTGTCTAATGCTGGTCACAACTACGCCATGATACACTCTGCGTCATCTCTGACACCTGCTTCACAACTCAGTGAACAGTTCAGTGGTGTTACACAGGTGAAATATCATACTTGTTGTTCAAAGAATAAACTTAAACTTTATACCACTTGTAGTAAATTTAGCAGGTTATTTGTTAAAGATCCTGTATGCTGTAATTGAGGTTGTAACCACACTTAAGTGAAATTTTATACATGTATATAATTATGCTTCTAAAACAATTTTCAAACATTGAAGAATAATATTATGTAAAATATGTACTGCAGATATTTGCCCAAATTTTATGTAATCATTTAAGATATGCATTCATTTCTTATTGAAAAATTTGACTTTATAGAAAATAAATTTCAAATTACCTCCCTTTATTAACATGAAATGTAAATTCGGTAGTATCTTTACAAATAATGCGTTTTGGAACTTACAATATTGATAAATCTTCATTTGAGCATTATACATGTATTTATGATATAAAACTATAAAAAAAATTGAGTTACAGGATCTTTAATTGTACTGAAGAAACTACAGGAAGCATAAAGTAATTTTCAGGTGTGTTTTTTCCAGGCATCTGTAATGAAAAGAGTTGCAGAGTTAGAGGATAATTCAAAAATAATGGAACATTTAATTGAACTTGGACATGAAATACTCAACAAAAACAATTTGAAGTAAGTATGAAGAATTGTTTAATTACGATAAGTTCATGATACAGTTGAACTTTTGCTAAAGTACAGTAGAACTTTGGTAAGTTGAAGGGACTTGCGTAAAAGCTTCGACACATCGGGACTTCGACTCATGAATCGGTCTCAATTTTGTGACAAAATTTCTTTCCGTGACTAGTCCTAATTAAAAGATCTATAACGTAAGGTATTTCATGTTTTCCTTAATTATTCTGATATTTTACATTTTACAATGATAAATATAACATGTTAAATAACGTTTTTCACGGCTTATTATTTGGACTACCAGTTGACGTATACAATGAAGTTACAAAAGGCCTAACAATACGAAAGAGGGATAACTAAACCAGCTTATAGTAAATATTTCGCGTGTTATTATCACGCAACACAGGGTCACAGAAGTTCTCAAATGAAAGTAGTTCTTACTGTTTACTTTCAAATACCACTACGGCAATTAAAAATGAATGGATTGTAAATATTAACAATACTGTATTTCTTGTTCTGATAATTTCAATGCACATTGTGTCACACGTTTGTTGCCATATTATTGTGGTATTGTAGTTGTATATATTGTAAATTATGTTTTTCTTAGAGGCCCACATGGAAGATTGGGGAACCAAATGTGTAGCCTTGATAAATAAAGCCTTTACTTACTAACTTACTTACTTACTAAATGTACTGTGTTTTCATGAGCTGATTATGACCTTGTTAAAATTCATAATAAATTTGCTTTTATAAACAAAATGTTTTATTTTTATAGACTGTGTATATTTTTATTTGTATAGACTCATTAGACTGTGTATAATTTTTATAGACTGTGTATAATTTTTATTTTTATAGACTGTGTATAATTTTTATTTTTATAGACTGTGTATAAATGCCACACCTGACTTCATGCCCACTGCACTGGAGAAGGTGGAGGAGTTTATAAACTCATTACATGGTCATAGAAAACCAGAGCATCATTTTGTAAAACCCCACCCCTAAACTGTAATAAAATTTTTATAAAATGTATGTAAAATCCACAAAAAAAAAGTGTATTAAAAAAAGAAAAAAAGGATACCTAAATTTAGTGTAATTCAAACGAATTTATTGAAAAAAGGTTGGGAATAACGGAGGGGCTCTATTTGTTTTAAAATTCAAAAGTTTGATAAATTTAATATTGAACTTACACGAATATTATATTCTATTTATCACATATCCAAAAAATAAAAGACATTTAAAGTATAAAAGGATCATTTTTCATTGACTATAGTGTAACACTAACATTAAGCGCGTTTTTATGCTATGTTTGTATAATTCAAATGACATCACATCAAAATATATGCACGGCGGTGAAATACTTTTAATCAGTCGCAAAATCAGCATGTATATGATATGTGATAAAACCCTTTACTGTATACATGTATGTAAGTAAAACCCCACACTACACATGTAAGTAAAATCTGATACTGGAAGTGAAACCCTACATGTGTAACTAAAACCCTAAACTGTATACATGTATGTTAGTAAAACCCTACACTACACATGTAAGGAAAGTATTCCTGAAAGTGACCAATGATGTCAGTAAACCCTTTACTGTATATGAAGGTAAAACTCATGTTCAAGTGATTTAATGCCTTTAATGCTACAAAATCTGCAAGATTTCATACAAAATAAGATAGTAATTTAAATTTTAGAAAGCTTTCAAACTGATAATAGAAGATAATTTTTTTTTTCTATTTTTCTCGATATTGGAGCAAAGAAAAAACTACTTATGTTGCAAGCAAATTGGATTTGCCCAGAAGAAAAGTTTTCAGATATAAAGAAGTAATGTTTGGAAAAAATAAAAGCAACAACAAGTAAATTGAGAGTTTTGAATAACTATTGATACAGTTTTAGGGAATGTGTATGGGAGAGAACTTTACAGCAATTAGGAATAGGTCCTTTTACCCAACAAGTCTAAAATAGAAAGTAAAACCTATTGTACACTTTTTTGTTGTTCTTTTTTCAGGTAACTAAATTTGAAGCAAAAAGTCAGAAGACCCAAATTGAGCTACCTTTCTCAGTGAACTACATGAGTAAAAGTGTGAAAATAGTTCCATACACCCACACAGACTTTGCATCGTACGTAAATAATTTAAGAGTATCATGATTTCCTATTTTTGTTTTCGGAATTTCATAACGAGGTAGTTCATTACATAAATTTTGAGGTATCGGCAAGCAGCATTTTTGCCTCCATTGAGAGAAGAATACAATTGTACATATTTGATTTCTTCATAAATAATGACAATTTTAATCAAACATAGTTCTTACTACAGGGAAAAAAATTATTCCTAAGTTACAGGTCTTGTGATTAAATCATAAAAGGTACAATATTCACTAACATAAGGTATAAGTCATAAGTTGTGCGCTGTTTCGCAATTGGAGCAAAGCACATTCACAATCTCAGTTTTCCTGAAGTAAGGCAATACTTTTTACACCCTCATTGTTGTTTCATGTCCTATGTTTATTTGTACCAGGAATGTTTAGACTTGTTTTAAGTGGTAGAAGACTTGTTTTACATGGTAGAGATATGAAAATTATAAACAGTATACAGAAAGTAATGCATGAAAAGGGACACACAAATCCAGCCATTGTCTAACTGTAAAATCAAGAGACCTTGATTGGCTTTGTGTACAGAATTAAACTATACAAGAACAGGAGAGCAGGAAAACTCAGGAGTATAATGTACCACTAGCCAACCAGTTAAAGTCCCCATAGCTGTGGGTTCAAAATCCCAACAGTTACTTGGGATTCTTTCATGTGAGGTAAATGAAGGTCAATAGTTTTACTAAGGTGCCTGCTCATGCCTGAAATAATGCAGGAAGGGATATGTTAGATCTATGTCGACCAGCAAAGCTTGAAGGTCATTGTATCACCTTTACAGTGCCAATGTTACTCAAAATCCAAGGAAACAAGCGAATAGATAATGTGCCACTGCCATATCGGATGCTTTATGACTGTAAAACATAATACACTGCATTCATTTAGCAGTTTGTAGTGTTGGCTGTAAAACCGTGGTATATTGTATTTTCTACGGTATTTTGTCTAGGACTTAATTTATATTGTTATCATAAAAAATTTATACACAACAATAGTAACTTATGTCTGTATATTTTTATTTTTGAAAAAAAAATTATTAGGTAACTATGTATCTTTTTTTTCAGACTGAGGGTGTTGTCTAGATTGTTGTCATGGAAATTCCTACACAGAGAAATCCGAGAAAAAGGCGGGGCTTATGGAGGCGGTGCTACCTGTTCAAATGGAATCCTGAGTTTCTTCTCTTACAGGTCAGTTTTATAGTATCACAACTTCTCAACCATTAGCCTGATAAAGGCAACGGATTCTATCCATTAATTTAATGAAGCAGGGTGTCTGTGGCCGAAAGGTTAAGGTTATTGACTTCAAACCACTTGCCGCTCACCGCTGTGGGTTTGAATCCTGACAGGGACTTTGGATTCTTTCATGTGTGTAAGCTATCCTCAGCTAGCTTACGGAACGTCGGTGGTTCTACTCAGGTGCCCGTTCATACCTGAAATAATGCACGGAAGGGCACCTGAGGTCTTCCTCTACCAGTAAAGCTGGAACGTCGCCATATGACCTATACTGTGTTGGTGTGATGTAAAACCCAATCAAACAAACATATTTATTCAACCAGTTCAGACCAAGATTAGCCAGCAAATGCATGTCATCTTATCATGGTCTAAACTGTTTTCTATTCAGTCAGTATTTATTAATTGAAATATTTCCCTAAAAATGATGAATGGTTTTATCCAGGATCAAAAGATAGGCAAGTCCCTTTAGTGTGGTGAATGTTAAATAAAAGACACATATAGTGGCTTGAAAGGTTCTATAATAATGTGATAATTGTATTGTTTTCACTGCTTGTATTTTCTATGTACAAATGTATCTGACTGCAGATCAACGCCACCAACATCAATTTGAGTAAGATCGTTTATTCAATATTTTTTTCCAGAGACCCTAATTCCATGGAAACATTGGAAGTATTTGATAGGTCAATACAATGGGCAGCAAATGGTGACTTTAGTGATACAGACGTGGATGAGGCTAAAATTGCGGTGTTTCAACAGGTAGATTGTAGCGGCAAAGAGAAAAAAATAATTCTGTAACGTTGTTACAAACTAAGTATTTCAGTAAATTTATCTTGAAAAAGTGCATCATATCACTGTTAAGCCTTCTTCACAACAGCATTCCGAGAGCTATTTATGAAGCGCCAGTGATGTTCGTTTCTAAAAATAGAAGATTGAGAAAGGAATCATCCACTTTACTTATTTATATAATTATATAGAGTGGACCTTAAGATAAGAAATATCGAGGGGTTTACTTATTGTTTATGTATTTTATCATTTTAGCGCAAATTTCATTTTCCACCTGAATTCTTTTGATTTCACAATTATACGAAACAATTTGTTTAAAAATAACATATTTTACCTTTAGAAAAGCTAAAGGCCCCTTTAGAAAAACAAACTTGATATGAACGAAAGAAAAACATGTGATTTGCATGTGAAGAAACCATCTAGTTAGCTTGAAGAAGGTGGATTTATAGACTAAGGTGCCCACTAGTTTTGTATCTGGTATCATGAGTTGCAAGCATTTTAGAACAAATCTTCTTGCATATTAGACTGGCGTTTCCATTAGTTTTATTCATGCAGGAAATTTTGTCTGGCATGGGGGTGCCCTAAATGAGTTGCGTGCTGTACAATGGCACGTTTAGGATGACATAATTTTTCCGTTATGAATGAAGTTGTAATTTCATATGCAGGTGTAATGACATTAATTTCCATGGAAAATTGTTTTTATTAAGGTAAAGAGTTTAAAATATGTTAGAATATGCAAGAAAAGATATCTGACATATGTATGTTTGCTGTTCGGATCAGAATATCCGTCCCTCGGGAACTTGTCCCTAGGTAGGTCCCTTCGGGAAGATATTCCCATTCAAACTGCAACATATGACAGATACTATTATGTTAACCAATAAGTGTCTAACAATTAGGGTTTTTTGCAATATTTACTGTATGTCAATTCAATAAGTAACAAAAATTGTTGTTGTTGTTTCAGTCTGATAAGCCAGTTCCCCCAGGTCAGATTGGTTCCACATTATTTCTGTCCAATATTTCTGATGGAATGAGGCAAGAAGCCAGGAACCAGCTATTTGGTGTTACAAAAGAAAATCTCATTGAAGCTGCTCAGGAGTAAGTTATTTTGTTTGTTTGTTTGTTTGGTTTGTAAGTTGGTGGTTGTATGGTTGGTTGGTTTTTTGGTTGGTTGGTTTAACAGTGCACCAGCACAATTTAGGTCATATGGCAGAAATAACAGGAAATATGATTTTGGCTAAAAGCAACACCAGGGGTCAAAACCTCACATGCTGGAGCTAAGAGACACATAGACTCCAGTAATTCGAACCTATACATGCGCCTCTTATGATCACATAGGGATATAAGGTTCTTTCAATTCTGATGCCTCAACATTTAAATGAAACCCCTCAGCCACAATGGGGAATATCTCTGAAGTAAGTGAGGTTATATATTAAAAGTAAGTGAGGTTATATATCAAAAGTAAGTGAGGTTATATATCAAAAGTAAGTGAGGTTAATTCTCTGAAGTGTGCAAAAATAAGTACTTGAGAGCTAAATGAAGGTATATCCCACAAATATTTAGGTTATATAAATATGGCACATTGTGCAATAGCCTTCGATCTGAAGGTAACACTGTTCTAAAAATAGATTTTACCTAATCACCACTACATCACCTGTACTGACTTTCGGACAAGGGATTAGGGAGTACACATTATACATGATGTTAATCAGTGTATATTTACTGTGTTTACATGCAATATTTCAAGAAATTGTAGAATGCAAACAAGTTGGAAATGGAATTTAGTGTGAAAAGATAAGGGACAACTACACACTTTACTTTTTTAAAGTTAAATTTAAACATATGTCACAATCTGCTCTGGCCCTCTATATACATCTTTACACCTTGTCATAAAACAAAGTTTAAAAAATGCACCAGTAATTGGCGATGATTTTTAACAACAAAATTTTTGTGTGAGACATTTAAAATAAAAAAACAAATGTATTTATTGTCTATACGTAAACAGTGTTATGGTAAATCACGGACCTCAATAATTATGATCAATTCAGTTTAAATATACATTGCAAGCCATGCATGGTACGGTATACATTATTTCTCTGAGAAACATAAGTACTAGAATCGGCCATTTTTTATTAGTTAAAATAGGAAATGCAGAGTTGCTTATTCTAAAATTATTAAAGAATTAGTATTAATCATAATCGAAATACTCGTAGCAAATTTTGGGTGGGATAGTCATGACTTCTCCAATCTGCGTATTTTTACTAGAAACAAAATTTTGTACGTTATAACCTGGGACCAGAAAGATACTCTTTCATTTTTAGTCCCCATTTCTTAAAATCATACCATTCATATCACTAGTTTTAATTTTGATAAACAGTGAAAACAAATTGCCAAGCGCCGCATTATTTCTCAATCATTGACATGCAGGGGAAAGTACTTGCCCCCGAAAGTTAGTTCTTTCTTCACCATATCATCTTTATTTTCTGATGGTTTTAACCATGTCAATCATTGCTGTTACGCAAATTTAACTCCAGGACATCATTTCCATTGAGAGAAATGTGAATAAAAGTATTCTTAACTATTACATGTTGTATAATCTACATGTAGATTAACCAGTTTCCTTGTCCGAAAGTTATCGATATGTGGCTATTTTTAGAATAGGTCTCTTATCAGTGACGTATACGATGCTTATCTCAGATCGTTCCCTATTATACTACATGTTTGTAAGGTCGATTCACACAATAATTGAATTGTTGACAAAATTTTAAAACAGATGTACATTTATTTTGTAGGTACTTGCTTCCTGGGAACCGGCCTTCTTCTTTGTCCTTCCTCGGGCCGGAAAACAGCAATATTTCTGGAAACAAAGAATGGAAAGTGATCAAGGAATGAATCTTGTTTAGTTATTAGTTGAGTTATCTGCCCTTGAGTGGGCCCAATGAGCCAGGCCGTAAATATAGGACAAAAATCTCATGGACGATCGAGAACACTAATATTATAATTTATCTTTTAGACCAGGGCTTTCCATACTTATACACTTATTTATACAACTGCAATTGCCAGTCATGTTTATTATTTGGGATATGAGGGAATGGGAGTTATGAATCTTAATGAGCAATAAAAAAAATCAAAAAAACATTTTTGATGGTATTAGGTGGTATGTTATAGTTACATGTTTTAACCATTTCACTGTCAAAACTGTGAGGGTACAAAAGAGCGTACTGGACTATAATCTAATAAATTTAAATTACTTGTTAAAAGAATAAATGCTGATTTTTGACATTTATATTGTACTATACAATGTAGATTCTGTATTCTTTTTATGGAAGAAAATAAATTGCAGATAAAATGATTTATTGCAAATGTCAAAACAAAAATGTGAGAGAAAAAAATGTAAGTATTATAGGCTAACAGGCCATAGGTTGGATATACTTGTCTTACTAATTGTGTTCATTAACAATTTAAATCAAGCATATTCAAGTGTTCAGTAGTAAGAATTTACAAAATAAAATTTGTCAAGAGCGGCAAAGCTAATTAATTGGTTGAAATTACTTTTATGAACAGTCGTATTACTTGACTGATTAAATAAAGCCACTTTACCAAAGAGAATTTGTTTATGATTATTTTGAAATACTGCAATCCTTTAGAACAAAAGGTCATTACAAACTTACAAATACAAAAATACAAGATAGTGATTTATTAAATACTCAAGATAGCAAATAAATTGGAAGAGGTTGTTATTCATTTGTTACTGTATTTTAGTTATTAAATACTGTTGTAATAATGTTTTAAATTATATTAGAGTTTATATTAACATTTTGTCCAGGAATAACAGAATTGTAAGAAAAAATATAGCATCTGTAATGATGAAAATAATTTCAATTGCAGAAATAGTAATCAATTACTTTTACATTTGACATGAAGTAATTGAATTGTAATAGTTATTATAATAATGTTAATGTTTTCAATTGTTTAGAGTTTAGTTTGACTTGGGGTAATAATATTTGTAAAAAAAAAGGAACAAACAAATCTGTTATGATGATTTCAATTCTAGAAATAGTAATCAATTACTTTTGACACAAAGTAATTGATTTGTAACGGTAATTGCATTTATAATGTTTTTAAGTTGTTGTGAATTTAGACATTTTGTCAGAGGATTTGTAAAAAAATTAACATCCGTTATTATTTGTGCAATTGTAGTTATTGTGATTATTTACTTTTGGAATTGTAATGATTATTTTTGTTTGTCATGAAGAGTATCAAAAAATTTGTCAAGAAACTATTTAAATGTAATTACGTAGTACTTACATAATAGTGTTTTACTTAATACATGTATGTAGAATTAAGAAATATTTGTCATTGAGGACATTTTTAGAAATAGAAAGAAAATCAAGAATTCAATGCTGCAGGTACTGTCACAATTCAGTGAATTCATTGACTTTGTGTCCTTTGCCCCTCACTGTTGGGGGTTAAAATCCTGCCAGGGACTTTTACTTCTTTTATGTGAGAAAGCTATCTAGGATTCTGATTGAAAATTTTTGGTTTAACATGGGAACTTGTTTATGCCTGAATTAACCCTTAGACATAGCATTCTGGGGGGAAACTAAATTTACCCATGGGGTTGTGCAAGTCAAGATCAGCTATCTGATCATGGTCTGCACTGTTTGCTATTCAGTAAGTACTTATTATGAAATGATACCTAAAATTGAAGAATGGTTTTGTCCAGATTGAAATATGGACAAGTTCATTTAAGATATTTGGGGTGGTGAGGGTTAATGTACAAAAGGGCACCTGAGGTCTTCCTACACCAGGGACGCCGAAAAATTGCAATATGCCTTTTTCAGTGTCAATGATGTTAAACCAAACCAAAAACATCTGAAAGCAATGAATTCATAAAAAAAGAAAAATCTATGTGACATTGATTTCTTGAAAGAAAAAATAGTGCGGGTTGTTTTTTTATGCCCCCACAGGGTGGGAGCATATAGCGTTGCACTTGTCCGTCCGTCCGTATGTCTGTCCGTCTGTACGTCCCAAAATCTTGTGAACGCAAACTCCTCTTAAACAGATGGACATTTTTGTTAACTTACAGGGAGAACAACCTTAATGTGTAGATGGGAGTAAAGGAAAGAATTTTGCTGCGACCAAATTTAACAGAATATGCCCTTTGTTGATTTTTCACTGATCATACTATGCTAGAAATTTTCGTGAACACAACTGCCTCTTAAACCGGATTTGCAGAGTTTGCTAAACTTCCATGGGTTGAACACCTTAATGTGTAGATGCTAGAAAAGGAAGGAATTTGCGCATGCGACCAAATTTAAACAGAATGTATTGGCCCTTTGTTGTTTTCACTATATACTATGAGATTTTGTGAACACAACTCCTCTTAAACCGGATGGCAGATTTTGCTTAAACTTCCAGGGATGAACAACCTTAATGTGTAGATGGTAGTAAAGGAAGGAATCTTTGCTGCAACCAAATTTAACAGAATTATGGCCCTTTGTTGATTTTTTCACTATATACCATATATATGTTGTCAGTGGGGGCATCCGTGTCCTTTGGACACAGTTCTAGTTCTGTGTAAGTTTTTATCTGTTTTGAATTTAAATAGTTAAATAGTAGTTTATTTCAAATAATTTCACATACATATTATGTATACAAATGCAAATAACTTGAGCAATGTAGACATACTTATATATTGTAGAAAAAGGGTCTAAAGTTTAGCTTATAACAGGCAGAAAGAAATTGGCATATATTTTTTCTTTTTTACCTTATTTTTATATTTTTAATGGTCAGATATATTAACAACCCATATGACTGTATTAAACCGAAACAAATAGATAATAATGCACATAGCAGAAGCATATAAGTTGTCCACAGAATTTATTGTTTGAGTACATGACTTAACAATGTGTAGAAACATATGTGAAATAAAGCTTTAATAAGACTTTCTGGGAACAAATGAAACTTTTTTATATTGGTTCATTATTATTATTCTTCCATTAAAAAAAATTGTTAAAACATTTTTATTTCACTTAAAAACTGTTGAAATTGATTTAATAATATAGAAGTTTAGGTTGCATTTATATATTATGTTGGATTCAACTTGAATTGTAGTGATGTGAATTATATGTGAAAAAATATATGTTTTAGTAATGTTAAAAAATCATATTGTGCTGTTTTGTCATTGGTGCATGTTTTTGAATATTAAAAGTTTTAGGAAAGAATGTTTTTGTCATAATTTTTATTTGTACATTGATGAGACACTGACCTTTTGAGTCCCTCCACTTCAGAATGCTCCCTTTGTGGCTGACATGTTGTCTTTAATGGTGTAGGCATCAGAATTACAGCCATCGTTTATCCCTGCATGATCGTAAGAGGCGCCTAAATGGGATTGAATAACTGGAGTCTATGCATCTCTTAGCTCCAGCAGGAAGGGTGGTTTTGACCACTGGTGTTGCTTTGAAGATTGTAACACCCCAGGTTAGCACAAGAGAACTTTTATTTCTTTGATTTGTACATAGTTTATCATCATATACAGCATATAATTTCTGAGTAACAAATACTTTTCTGCACAATCAATCAATGTAATAATATACATTGTAATAAAACAACATTAATGATAGTATGCAAATATAATTAGGTTGGTTGTTATTTAGCCTCATTTAAATTAGGATGAACATATCAAAAAATATGAAAGAGACCAAATTTTGTATTATCATTGAACGTTATTATCCCCCACTGAAGGAATCGGGAGGGGGATATTGTTTTGGCGTTGTCCGTCCGTCCGCACTACCGGATAGGAATGGGGGCAATCTAACTAAACAGAACAAAAGAGAACAATAAACAATAGAGTTAAGGGCCATTAGCCCTCTATTAAACAAAAGAAAATAGAAAAGGCCCCTTAATTTCTTTTCCCCTCTAGTTCTCTGCAACAACTGGCTGGAATTCAAAGAAACTTTATGGGAATCTGCAATACCAAGAGTAGAAGCGCACCTATATCTTCCCCCCACCCCCCAACCCGCACCACCTCCCCCCATCCCTATACCCATTCAACAACCCTTGAGCTCCTACCTCTCCAAAACAATGTAAACTGCAGTATTTTTCATTTGGAATTTGATATATGCTTTTAATTCAATTCTCTTTATACCTCTCAAGTAAAAAACAAAACAAGAGCACCTCTAGGTGGAACATTATATGCCTGAAAGTGTTTTTTGTTGTTTTTTTTTAAGTAAAGGATGAAGCATTAATTTTGTAAGACCTGGGAATTTAATAAAGTATTACCTCCTTCAAATACCAATCCTCCTATGAAGTTTGAATATTCAATGGAACTTAAGTGTTCTGGAAACTGTTTTCAGTTTTAAAAGAAAAATGACCTTGACCTTTGACCTTGTGGCCCCAAAATCAATAGTGGTCTTTTACCCAATATGGACAATCATCCTATGAAGTTTGAACACTGTGGGCCAAATGTAACTTCAGTTATGCTCCGGAAACTGTTTTCAGTTTTAAGGTAATAGTGACCTTGACCTTGTGACCCCAAAATCAATAGGGGTCTTCTACCCAATATGCTTACCAAATTACTAACAGAAGGACGCCAGGGGGTATAACATAATATGCCCGAAATTTTTTCGGGCATATAAAAATAATACATATATATTAAAAAAAGTCATACCCCGTAAAAAATATACATATATTTTTAGTAAATGATATATTTACCATTTTTTTAAAAACATTTTTGTGGCGTGTGAAGGAAATTAAATTAAATGCATACAGTATATCAAAATACTGCAGTTTACATTATTTTGGTTAGATAGGAGTGTTGTAGAGCAGGTAAAAGGAGGGAAGGGGTTGGTGGTAACCATTCAACACTCGATCATGTGTTGATGGTTGAATTCTACATACCAGCTGACCTGTAAAAATGTACATAAGGTGGACTTTTACGTCAAGATTTACTGTATACATTGACATTGGACCAGACGGTCGATCTGGCCTTTCAAAGTAGTCGTACAACCTGAGTGAACGGTAGTACAGAGTTTTTCCTATGAAGTTTGGTTGAATGACGCTGAGGATATTTTGAATATATAAACTCATTGAACATAGCGAACAGGTCAGGCAATTGATCATGTTTATTTCACTAATTACATCTTTAACAAGTTTTAATTTATATAAACATGATGCAAGATTAAATTTTAATAATTTTGTACGATTACAGTTTCCGTAAAATTAACTTTTCATGATTTTTATTACCTCCCTTTATAAATTTTATATCTTCTCCCTTTACTGGCATTAAATTAAGAATTATTTAAATCCTAGGTATTAAACTTTGTATACCTTAGTAGCAATTTCATATACAACATAGAACTTAAAAATCACTGACCAAAATGAATTAATTGACTTCATGTGTTATTAGTTCACAATTATTTAATTTTCATGAACGTGTTTCTCGCTTTGCACGTGTTCAGCTTGAAAAATACCAATCGGAACACCTCGGGCGACCTCCGAACTTGACGGAGATTGCCGAGTTGTTACGATTGGAAAAATACGCTGGCCGAAGTGAGTAGCCCTGAATCTATGACTAGTGTGCGAGACGGTTTGAACGGCGGCACCATTTGCTGGCACAATTAAACAGCCCTTTTCAGGGCAACATTATTACCGCGGAGGTGCTCATTGACCGCTGCACAATGACCTTCTTTTGGCTTAAAATAATTTATTTGGCTAATACTCTGTGGAAATTGTAAGGATACTACTGTGCTTAAAAATTAACTCTTTCAGGGAATGGCAGGTGACAGGTAATGCGTCCGTTCTTGACTGCGAAAGCTGCTTTGTGTGCCTTAACGGGTGGATGGACTCTCATGAAGCATACTCTACATATATCACGCACAGATGCACGTGCTCGACAGCACGTGTTTCAGTTTGTTAGGACTTCAATTAAAGTCTGCGAGTTGGTACATCTAACGTTACAGAAATCATAAATAAAGACAAGTTTTCTATCATGCATTAGTGTTGCGCGTTTCTACAGACTTTTTACATTTTATTGAACTGTTGGCAGTGCTGTCACAGTCTACCCGACAACTGGTCGTGCTAATGTAGCCAATTCTATGGTAACACACTGATGACGTTATTACATTGAGTAATGGTAAGGCCAAAAATAAAATTGTTTGTTTCCTCTTCCCGACCCATTAAAATTAGGGTTGGGTAGGTAGGATGACATTTTTTTATGTGTGCATAATAATAAATATTCTGCATATATGTATAATGAACTATTGAAATTGATTTATTAAGTACAATATAGTATATGTACATGCATTACCATATCCACAACTGACATATGCAACATGCTAGCTGCTGTCTAAAATATCAGATTAGATTGCACCTATTGTACATACTCTGAAAGAAAAATATGCATGTACATTTATCCCCTAAGAATCTGAAAAAATCTTTTGGGCAGGGGCAAATATGTTGGGTAGGTAGGGAAGTGAAAACAAATTAAATTTTATGTTATGCCTTACTGCGCGTCGTTGTAGTGTCATGTATAAAAGTCTGGAAAAGGAAGAACCCTCGGAAGCAATTAATATGAAAATTGCAAACTGAGTTTGATGTCTGTTTATTAGAGATAATGTACCCACGCCCCCTTAAACTGGCTTAAGCCGGCTTCAATCCTCAACACTGACGTGCTGGAACAAGTGATTCAAAACCATTTAAGGGTACAATTTACCGTGTTCCAATTCGTGCACGTCGTTCATATATACAGGATATTATTGTATTATATTGTTCGGAAACCATTAAAAGTACGCCAACAATAATGAAAAGATTTTTATTAATAAAATTATGAGCATATCTGGGACATGATGGGTTTGATTATGTCTTTGTGTTAAAAGAAGAGTTTGCGTGTTTTAAATCTGGTCCCGCATAAGTTAGCGTACTACCTATATAAGTCTATTTATGTATTAGTTACTGAAATTTAGTATATAAACATTCTTATTTTAACAATTGAAAGAGTTAAATTTCACATCATTCTTTATATATTTATATATTTTAATGGTGCATTTCATAATTGGATAATAAAAATATCTAATTGCGTTTATTTTGTAATCTCAAAATGCACATAAAATCAACATATAATACAATTAATTATCTCCCTTTAATTCCTCCTGTAATTACGGTGTATATATTGCATTCGTGCGCATATAATTGTTTATTATTATATGTCCTTTTTCACTTCTACATCATTGTCTATTTCTGGTTTACCGTTTGACCAGATTTTCAAATAGAATCACTGCTGTAATATATTTATAGGCCTTTCTGTGGCTGTAGGTCTGACAAGTGCATCCACATGATAGATCCAAGAAACCTCTTTGTGATTCATTTAGCGGTTTAAAATTAGTTTTAGACATAATTTGCATTTTACTTTAGAGATATAGATCTACATGTATTTTTCAAATTTAATTAATTTGTATATAGACGATGTCGCTCTGTCAATTTATTATTCGTACGCGTCTTTTCATTACCTATCTGTTTTGTTATGTATAATTTCATTGGTTCTTCGTATTGCAATAAACCAACCAAAAAAGTCATAACAAAGCTGATTCCAGCCATCTGTCAAAATCAGAAAAAGTATAATTTCTTTTTCATTATTTCTATATTTTACAGTTACCGCGAAAGCGCATCATTTAAGACGCATGCAAAAATGAAACTCAATGTTTGATGTTTATAAGTTGTTGAAGTATCATTACTATGAGTATGACGCCATGGTCTTTAAGTTGTAACTTACTCTGGTGATTAAAATAGTCCAACTTAAATGACTTATTATACTGCGCGACGAGATATTGTGCTATTTTCGTGTCTGGGCAATATCTCGCCTCGTTAAAGCGAGATTCTGCCCCAGAACGACAATATCTCAAAATCAAGCTTTGGCACGTCAATATATTTTGACTTGTGATTAAAATTGCATCAAAATGTCTTGTTCAATGTATTAGACGTTACAGGCTTGTTAATTGTTATAGTTTATGTCGGTAAAGCCTGTTGCTTTGCCCAGAAGCAAAAATATCTCAAAGCGACATCATATTTATAGGACTACAAAATGTCATGTATGCATGTCTTCTTGAAGTCTCCAAACAGTGGTTTTTTTCAGTTTTGGGGGAAGGGGGTCAGTGCCCATTGGGTGGGGAAAAATAGCGCGTAAATGCCAAAAAAGGGGAATTTTCAGTGTTATTAATATTCAATAAAAAGACTTAAAATAGAGATGTACATGATTTTCTAACAATCCTATAAAATAAATAAGACAACTAATTGAAATTAGTTAACAACTTTATTAAATGAGTGATTTCAGTTCAGTTTGATTCAGTGCAATTTCATTTCCCTACTGTCATTATCAAACTCATTGATGACAGCAATCAGGTCATCAATGTTTAAGTGTCCATCATAGTTGCATATTCTAATCAGGTTGTCAAGACTGTTTTGTCCCAGTCTATTTCTGTGAGGAGTGCACAGTAGGTTCATTAAACTGAATAGCCTTTCAACGCAAGCTCCACCAGCATATCATTAGCCATTATTCACACAGATTTATTTGTTATGAAATTTTGCATACATAATCGTAGTTTCTATAATCATAATTTATCATTTCTTTGCACTGGCAGACAAGTTATTTAGTGAATTGATTGGAAATATTTATATCATGTATTATTACTAAATAAAATACGCTGAGAAAAAAATATCGAGCGTACCTCGGCTGACTTGCATTGGTCTGGTTTTTGATATTTTTCCTTTGAACCTAGCACAGAAAGTGTCTGCTGCTTAAAAAGAACATCGATACGTTTGTTCTTTGCTGAGCATTGTTTATTTATTATCTTTCGATAACACCGACTATTGTGTGACATTTTTGCAGTAAATGCGATAGTCGTAAAAGCCGTAAAGATACAGTGACAATTCGACACATCGGCAGTTCGGTAACTTGAGGATTTTCATCTTGTTACTGTTATCTCTTTTGCATAGCGTATTTTTCTTTCATTTTATAATATTCTGTTTATTTTATACTTGCCAAGTAGGCGATTGTTTAATTATAAATATTTGCATGTATTATTTCATTAAAGCCAACGGTAAATAATAAACTCAATAACCGATTCTCACGTTACCGTATTGTCTTACAGCCGCGGTAAAACGAACGACCTATGTCGCAAAGCAAGCGTAAAGTAAACATCCCTGATAATAATGATTGAGTTCATGAATTTGCTATGTGAATCAAAATAAATTGGCATATTTTACTTATGGTTTGTGTGTCTTCTTTTCTGTTTCTTGTTTGGGAATATTTTTTTGACAGTGGGGAATTTTCGCAATTTCATGGGAAAAATATATATTCCGAGAGGTGGGGAAAGGGGCCGAATATCGCCGAATATTTCGACCAAAAATAACACTGCCAAATAACATATATTTAATTCACTCACACTGAATACATGTACATCTACATCATACTGCTTCAAGCAGGTACACAGTACATTGTATACATTGCATTGATTTGAATTTTGAGACAGCTATGAGATCCCACATGCATGAGATAGGCCTACAAGGGAATCCAGGAATCAGCCTCTAGCTCTTATTAAACCCCTTGGTTCTTTTACATGCACAGTGTATAGCACTGATACATGCGAGGATTAGGCCATCCTTAAAAAAATGTTTGTTTGCAGTAACGCGACCGACTCACAAAATTTGCCCCTACTCAAAAGTTTTTTTCATGGTCTGGATAAAAATTTATTTTTTTTGAATCAGAAAATTATGCCTTGTGCTTTGTTTTTGTTCTTTTAAAGGTTAATAGAAGAAATAAAATGTAGGTATTATTTAATTAGAATTCAGTTATCAATTTATTAATTGTTACCAGATTATCAAAGCATATATTGTCCAGCATTTTGAAATTCCATGTTTATTTGGGAGTACAGTTCAAAAAAAAAAAAAAAAAAAAAAAAAAAAAAAAATCGACCTACCTACCCACCTTGAAAATTCTGGGTCGGGTTACTGCAAACAAACATTTTTTTAAGGTTGGCCTTACTTGGATTTCCTACCAGTACACCTCAAGGTACACAAAGGTGGGAAACACTGAAAGTAACTCCTAGGATCGAACCCAGGACCTCATCTAAGCTCAGTTGGCAAGACCAGAAGAACTTGAAATTCTATCAATATTACCCATAATATCCAAAATATACCCCCTATGTAGTATAGATAAACCCAAGGAATTATTCCTACATAGGTATGCGATTCAAAAAAGTTATTGATTGTATTTGATACATTTCATATATATTGATAATCGAAATGGCCTGATAGATTATTTTGATCTGTGGTTTTGTTGATTTGTTTGTGGAAAATTATGTTGGGGTAGGGAAAAAGCGTTTCATTCCTTGCATATATTTATTATATATAGGGGGTATATTTTGGATATTATCGTTACTACTATAGATGTCACGCCACCTTATACTTATTAACTTAAAATTTTTTAATACTATTATGTATACACTGGTTAAAATATTAACAAAAGTAATTGAGTAAAAGCTTTGTACATAAATCACATGATGAATTTTCTAATTGACTCTAAATTGCTAGTAGAGTTTAGATGATAATTAAATTGTATGTTTGTTCATTAACCCATTTTTGGCACCAAAACACCTGCTTTAAAATCTAGGAAAATCTAGGAAAATGGCAGTTTCAGAGTGGTTGGATATCCGTCAGATATCATAACAAAACAGAGGCATAGATATCTACATCTCTGAACAAAATAACATTAATATTAATTGGGTCTTTGGTTTAAACATATTTATTCAACAAAACATTTAACAAGTGAACAATATTTACAAAGTACATTTTGGGATTGGGCAGAAAGCTATAAAGCTTATAAATGTCCTCTCCCAATTGGGTCTTTAAAGTGTAGTTAGTATGATAAAGTGTAATATATATCTTTTATGTCCTCTAACACTGACTTGAGCTGTATTCAATTTGTCTGGGATGGATTTTTACATTTTACTGCATTGGTCCAGAGCATCCGCTGAAGAATTTCACTTGAAACTTCACATATGTGTCTTTCATTGTAGGTCTACTGCTATAGAACCATAACTCTAGCATTGATTTATACTGTATTATCTCCCTTAGTGCATATAGAAATGACTGACTTTATTATTGATAATTCCCCTTTGTGAACTTCCCATCATGCTTTTAAAGCAGCATGCCTCCAGATTCATGCTAATTTTCATGAAAATTTTGAAAATGTATTTAAATGTTTAATATTGTGAAGTAACCAAAAGGAAGCAATTTACACATTATCAATGGCACTTACAAACCACGTAAGTTACCAAAAAGTGGTCAAATATGCAAAAATGCAAAAATATAAGCTGAAAAATCAGTCATTAATCGCACATAATATGTAAAATATTACTTGAATCTTGAAACTTTTTACTTTTCCTTACATCTTTATACATTTTTCTCAAGTTTGATTTTATTGAAATATTTAGACTCATCTGGAGGCATATAACTTGAACTGATCAACCATCACCTTTTCTTACATTTCAGATTCTACTTTAGTCTGATTGGTTGACTCAAGTTATGCAGTATTGGTAACACATTGGTCAAGTTAACCAAGCAATGTGGTTAAGAATGGCTAAAGAACAAAGATTATATGACTTATCGGATAGATTAATTAGAGCTATAAGTAATTGGCAGACATTTTCTGCAGATGATGATGATGATGTCGAACACTTAATAGAAAGAGGTTTGTGTTTTACATATCAAGGCTTTGGTGCGAAACAGCTATAACTCATATAACGCAATGAAGGAGTTATTTCTTTTTCGCACCAATCCATCAATATATTCATTTTGCTTTCTTTGTCAAGCCATTTATCCTGTTGAGTTTTGTAAAATTAATGTACATGATTGTACTTTTAATTTGGAGCCTCTAAACATAAAATTTGAAATTTTGACATAAATTTGCTGGTGCACTTAAAACAGAAAGATAATTAAGATATTATTCAAAAAGAAATTGAAAATGGTATTTTGTGCAATTATTAGTTCGATTTGAGTGAAAAGCGTTGGGTCATAATCATATGAATATTCATTCTGGGGAAAAAAAACAGAGTAAGTGTGAACTTTTGCACATAAGTGATTGGTCAGTGATTTTTTTTCCAATTTTCAAAACAACCTGTGGCTTTCTGAAGGGGAAAATATAGCGCGATAAATCAGAAAAAGGGAAAACCTGAAATCAAATTCCAACAACTGCAAATGGGATTTACCCACACATTTTATGAAAAAAATTAATTTCAATTTAATTTATCATGCATGGTACATAGCAGAGGCTATCTGTAGGGACAGATTTCTGTCTTCTAGCTGATATAAGTCAGATGCTATTAAGTCATGGTTCTGGTAAGGAAGAGCACAAGGCATTTTAGGGGAAAATATTAGCATTTTTAGGGAAAAATATACCTATTTTTGGCTAGAGGAAACAGCCTTTATTCGGCTGTAAAATACAGTGAAAAAAAATCACTGTTGGTCTAGACCAACATCAAATGGAACATTAATCTCGAATGTTTATTTCCAGTACGTTATGTCAAAAAACCTCAGTGGAGTCCCTTTAAGTGATGTAAATATCAAAAAGCTATACCGCTACTTGATTATTCAGGTCAGACTGATTCGATGTAGCTTGACTTTTTATAGAACAGTTGGACAGCAGAGTTTGCAAATTCCACTTGTCAAATCATACTCTTGAGATTGCAATTTTTGAAGTGTTTTACTCAAAGTTGGTAAACATGTAAACAAGTTTATCCTATATACTCTAATGACACAAAGTGACAAATAAACTTTAGCCATCATAGCTTTATGCTACAGTACCCTTCACAATGGAGTGATCAATGCATTATGCTTATTATCTTTATATATTAACCGAATTGAAACTGATCACTAGATCGGGAAAAAACCCAACATTTGTTAAGTTTCAGAGTATCTTTGAACAATGATTTCATTATAAACAGATTGGCAATCCATATCATTGGTTGAAATGCTGTTAAAATTTGTTGTATTTTCAGTCTGCAGATTAAAAATATCCGCCTTTACCTTTGGCCAAATCTGTTGTTTTTGTTGGCACGTCTGTTGCCTCCAGTATTAATAAAAACGCTGATTTTGATTTTGACAGGAGCTGATGTGAACCGACTACACGGAACTTTACTACCATTACAGTGTGCGTGTATGGTCAGTGATAGTCTAGTGCTCCGTTTGTTGTTAAGGAAAGGAGCTAAGGTATCTATTTTGTCATGCACCCATTATTTCAATCTATTCTGTATCAATTATACAAGAAAAATACAAGAAAATCAATTATTTTCAACCAATAGCTGTTTTTCAGAATATATTCTTTACTCTCAAAAAAGCAAACAAATAATGACATTGTCTATAATGATATGTATTATTAGCTTCATTCATACAAAATTACTTGCAGGTAAATGAATTTGATGGGTATGAGAGAACGGCAATGCATTATGCTGCGGAGCGGGACGTTTTCTGCGTAGAAATGCTTCTTGAAAACGGTGCCGATATTAACATAGGCGATGGAAATGATGACACTCCTTTACACTGGGCGACATTCAAAAATAATGTACCATGTGTAAAACTTTTACTTCAAAGAGGGGCCAAGGTCGACCCGTTAGATTATAACCATGACACACCATTAGCGTGGGCGGCTCGAAAAGGTCATGTCGAAATAATACAAATCCTTTTAGACTACAATGCAGATGGTCATATTGCTAACCTCAGAGAGTTATCGCCAATTGAAAAAGCGGTTCAGGTCCAAAGTAGCGGGCTTAATACTGAAAATGATAATAGAAGTCTGGACCTGTTGTTAAAGGCGACATGTAAACTGACTGCGACCGATTCACAGAGACGAGCAATAAAGGAAGATAATCGTCTAGGAGAATTGTTGTCGGCAAGAGTCGAGATGCCGTGTTCTTTGCAGGGTCATTGCCGTTATTCAATACGCAGGTCGTTTGGATATCGGTACCTACCAAATGTTATACCAAAATTACCGATACCATCAAGATTACGAGATTTTATTGCTCTGAAATGTTGACAGTATTAATGATATTTTTTTTGTGGTGTTAAGTGGCAGCTGAAAGTAGTTTTTGTTAAGGATGTATTACTGATATGATAGGTTTAAATATGTGTTTTTACCTTGCCAGTTAATTATTTAAATACTTTTATGACAATAAACTTTGTCTCATAAATTTTGAAATTTTAACACGGAAACCCTAAAGATAATTAACCCAAACTATAATTAAACTATTCACTTTTTGTTCGCATGAAAATACACATTCAGAAAATTGTTTTGTTTTTTTAAACAAAAGGCATAAAGTTTGGGAAACTTTCAAATATTTTTAGAAATTTTGAAAAAATCCATAAAATTTGAAATTCATAAAAGAGGGACACTTGAAACAAAAAAAAATAGGCAAAAAATGATTTAACAAAAACACACTCTGAATTAAATCTAAAAACTATTAATTTTTGTCTTTGATTCAATCCCTTTAAAAAAGTAAGATTCACTTTGTTACTGGGGAAAATAAATCTCACTTATGAATGGGAAATAATATCTCACTGACGAGCATGGAAATTGTATCTCACTGAATGGTGGGGAAAATAATAAAAAATATCTTACTGATGAGTGTGAAAATACATTTGCTGTAAAGGGGAAAAATATATCTCTTTGATAAGTGGAAAAATAAACCTTTCCAGAGAACTGGAAAAAATGCATCACAATGGCAAGTGAGAAAAATATATCACATAGTCATATTGGAGGAAAAAATATCACACTTAATACTGGGAATATCATATCTCTTTGGAAAGTGAGAAAAACTATATCACAATTAAAATGATAAATAAAATCTCACCAAATACTTTGGAAAAAAAAATATAAAAATCTCACCAACTTCTTTGGCCAAAAACCGTATCAAGAATTACTTTGATCCCATATCATGAGTGAAAAAAACCCAAAAGTTTTCCCAAAGTAGGACTAATTCGGACTCATTATTTATATGAGCCGTGTCACAACAAAACCAACATAATGGGTTTGCGACCAGCATGGATCCAGACCAGCCTGCGCATCCGCTCAGTCTTATCAGGATCCATGCTGTTCGCTTACAAACCCTATAACAAGTAAAGAAACTGATGGCGAACAGCATGGTTCCTGATCAGACTGCGCGGATGCGCAGGCTGGTCTGGATCCATGCTGGTCGCATACCCACTATGTTGGTTTTGTCATGACGCGGCTCATTTATCTGTACTTTCATTGATGAGGTGAATGTTGATGTCACTCTGCAAGTCTTGTGTGTAATGTATGTAAGTTATTATTGAATCTTTGTGTATATTTTTGTATAATTAGATAACACTGTTAAATCTCAGCACTTCTCTAGCTTATATAAGATTTATGACACTTTAGAAAGTGTTGTAAATAGTGTTTTTAAGAATATGGGGTGACATGTAAAATATAAAAACTTTAAAGCTGCATTCCTCTAGATGTTGGCCAAAATTTTCATGAAAATCATCCTTGACAGAATTTTTACTCATATATCAAGGAAAGTCAAGATATTCAGTAAATAATTTACCTGTTATATACATTTATGAATGAGTTTGCAGTATTTATCACCTTCTTTCAATAGGAAAAGTTCTATCAGCATATTCTGACCTGTTTTTTTGTATATTTTAAAATTAAGTGTAATTTGCAATGTAAATTACTTTCTTTGTTTGCTTGACAATATTTTACCTTTTAATACATTTGAAAAAAAAAAATGAAAATAAGCATAAATCTGGAGGCATGCTGCTTTAATTAATAAGTTAAGGGCACTTAAGGTAAACAATATGTAAGTAAAATATACTTGAGATTGTATTAAAGCATGCAAAATTAATGATTAGTATTTATTGACAAAGTATCAAATTAGCAAAAAAATGATTCTGCCATATACATGAAATGCATAATATCATAGCTTATGAATATTTAGATATGTCTTAAACTATTCAAGCGTATTGGCTGTCTGCAGTTTACACAATTTTTGTTTGAAGTTTGATAAAAAAAAAATACCAAAATGAACCTGTATGAAAGTGATATGTTAGTATATTTCTTTTTGAACGAATGTTACAATAAAAATTACATGCTAGTATTGTTTAACTGTTTAAGACATGTAAGACTTGCTTAAAGGTCCATTACACCACAGTATACCTATATGTTTATTTCTCAAAAGCTATTCATTTTCTGGGGCCTAATAATAGTTTTCAAAAACTTACTCGCTAGCCGATCCCCTGAATCATTTTTTTTCTTTTTGCTTCGGTTGCCTTTTATCAATTAGAATAATGATAATAATTCATTATTTTGTATGGAAGTCAAAATACTACTGTATTTACATTTTGATAAGTTTTTGACAAATAATTTCACATTTATCAATACTTTTTTCAGATAATAAGCATCTAACATATGCTCTTAAACCATTAATATTATACTGTTGAGAAACTTATGATTGCCCTTTCTTAAGAATAAAACTGTCATTTGTTTCTGTGGCATAATTTCTTTTTAAAAATATACTATGCTCAAATTTGATATTAGAGAATATTGATAATTGCTACACAGTCTCTTTGTAAATATAGAATAAACACGTTTTGACTTAATATGAAGTAGATATGTTACATAAAAAATTCTACAGGTGGTCACAAAATATGAATATACAATGTCATTAAAAACAGGCAGTCTTTTTAAAAAAGGACCAACTTTACTTGAAATGTAATAGGGAACACAGCTTCCCATACATTGTTTGTTCATTCTTTTATTCAAATTAAACATATTGTGTAAAAATTTTATAGATTTTACTAAATTTCTAAAGATATTTTACTCAAGGATGAGCATAGTATGTCTTTAAAATAGCAACATTTATGCACATGTGTGTTTAAAATTATGAAAACATTTTATGTTACAAATGTTTAAAGAATTTACCATAAGAATATGAAAACAACATAATTTTACCAATTTTTAAATTGTATTAAAATAAAATGATAATGAATAACTTTATACCCTTTTACTTTACTTTTTGGAAGTTTTATTTGAATTTATACAAACTTTTAGAGGTTTTCTCCTTTAATAAAGGAATATTTTAGAATTGTTGGTAATTGTACACGTTTATTTGTTGATTTTTGTCAAATTAATTGTTGATATTTATCAAATTAGTTGTTGATATTTGTCAAAGTATTTGATATTTGCACACAATAATTAAGTTTAGTCAGTAATTTTTATTCTGACATTTTTAGCTCGACTTTTCTATGAAAAGGGGAGCTATCCTACTCGCCCCGGCGTCGGCGTCGGCGTTGGCGTCACACCTTGGTTAAGTTTTTCGTACCACCCCACTTTATTTCAGAAGTATTACAAGTATGGCTTTGAAACTTACCATACTTGTTCACCATCATAACCTCCATCTACAGACAAGAGTACATAACTCTGTCAAGGTTTTTGACAGAATTATGGCCCTTTTTTGACTTAGAAAGTGTATTGAGCTTGGTTAAGTTTTTTGTACCACCTCACTTTATTTCAAAACCATTGGAGGTATTGCTTTGAAACTGACCATACTTGTTTACCATCACGACCTTCATCAACAGACAAGAGGACATAACTCTGTCAAGGTTTTTGACAGAATTATGCCCCTTTTTGACTTAGAAAATACATTGAATATGGGTAAAATCCACTTATTGCCTTAACCCTTTGAGATATTGCTTTGAAACTTTTAATGCTATTTCACATCATTACCCCCATCTGTACGCAAGAGAAGGTAACTCTGTCAAGGATTTGTTTTAAAAATTAAGGCCTTTTATCGACTTAGAATCTTGGTTAAGTTTTTAGTACCAGTCCACTTTTTGACTGAACTGTTTGAGATATTAATTTTTTAGTTTTTAGTACCAGCCCTCTTTTGACTTAAACATTTCAAACTTTGCTGCAGTGTTCAAGGGTATCACACAATTCAGTAAAATAATTCTTCACTAAATATCTTAATGCTCATGGCCATTGTTCACTTTAAAAATACAGAGATTCTTGTATTTCCTTTTACTGCAAAAACTTTTTTTATTGGCAAGCAATAAAAAAGTCGAGCGCGCTGTCTTACGGACAGCTCTTGTTAAAGATTAGCAGCAAGGACAAAGCAAGGCCAGTCTTTGCATTCGAGTAGTCTTACCTGGCTCCTTTCTACCGGTTACACAATGTACATGTATTTTATATTTAAACATTGAAGTCCCTTTAAAGATCCTGTAACTAAATTTTTTATGGTTTGTGTATCATAAATATGATGCTCAAATGAAGATTTATCAATATTGTAAGTTCCAAAAAAGCATTATTTGTAAAGATATTACCAATCTTCTTTACCATGAAAATATGAGCATAATGTCACATATTAAGGTACAAACAAGTGTACGAAGACTGTATTAGGATTTTATGCTCCTACAAAGTGGGAGCATATAGCGTTGCACTTGTCCATCCGTCCGTCCGTATGTCTGGCCGAGCCAACATTTGATTATTATGAGCTTCATTCCGTAGTTAAATAAAGAACATAAACTCATAAAATTGAAATTAAGAGCTATTTTTTTGAGCTTATTTTGCTTATGGACGTTGGTCCAGGTGGTGTTTATGAGCTCATTTGCCTCATAAACATCAAATTTTGGTACGTCCGTACGTCCCGAAATCTTGTAAAGGCAACTCCTCTTAAACCGGATGGCAAATTTTGCCTAATATTCCAGGGATGAACAACCTTAATGTGTAGATGGAAGTAAAGGAGGAATTTTTGCTGCGACCAAATAGAATTATGGCCCTTTGTCGATGTTTTCACAATATACCATATATATGTTGTCATTGGGGACATCCGTATCCTTTGGACAAAGTTCTAGTTATCTCATATATTGATGGTGTTACAAAATCATTATTTTTACAGGTGTTAGAGAGTGGAATAGAAAAATGAAATTTAATAGTGCTACTATTTTGAATTTATTGTTTGCAATTGTAATCATTTCCAGATCCTGCAACACAATTTTTTCATGGTTTTATTTCATAAGTATAATGAATTTATCAATATTGTAAATTCCAAGAAGCATTATTTATAAAGAAATTACCAAATTCAACATTTTGTGTAAATAAAGGGAGGTTAAAAGAAAGTTATTTTCCATAAATTCTAAGTCAAATTTTCCAATAAGTAATGAATGCATATAATTTATTGAGTCAATATAATGTGCACAAATATTTGCAGTACACATTTTACATATTCTTGGATGTTTGAAAATTGTTTTATTTGCATAATTATATACATATATATTTTTTTGCAAGTGTGGTATACACACAGGAATAATATCAATCACAAAACATACAGGATCTTTAAGATAGATTCTTATAATCTTATATTTCATATAATTTAGGGATGCTAGTTTTGTTTTCTATATTAATTTTATATTGTTACATTTTCTGAGATCATGTTTGTAAATTACAAATGTACAAAGTTTCAGAATGAATATATTATGACATGGTACAATGTAGGTCAAGGTCATAGGTATATCACATGACCTTTACTTTTATTGACCTTTTTTGACGTCAAGGTCTTGTATGTGTTACATAACCTTCATTTTGTTTGACTTTTGTTGTTATTGTTATTGAAGAATAATTGTTATAGTTGTATATTAAAAGGCAATGGTTTTATCTATGATATCATGTTATGTTTCTTTTCGTTATTTTGGTTGCACCTGTAAGCAAACCCAAACAAACCCGTTTCACCCGTATACAAATTAAAAATCTCCGGATTCCCACCGTTTTTGGACTTCTGTGACTGAGTGGTTAACGTCGCCTACATGAATTCACTGGATCAACAACATTGATTTGAATTAGGTTGTTGACTTTGAATTCTTTGATGTTAGGAAGTATCTAGGTCAGTGGTTCTTGATGCCCGTTCCTGCATGAAGTAATTAATTCACAAAGTGGCATCTGAGGTCTTCCTCAGGAAATTGGACTAATGACCTTTTCTTAAACCCAACAAACAATCAAATCTCTATTTCCAGTGATTAACTAAAATTTTACCTTTTATTATACGGCTATAACTCTATGCCATGATACAATTAATGCTGTAAATTACTGTGTTCTAGATATTCTGGAGTCAAAATAACGAAAACCAACAAATTTGAAATGGTATATTACAAAACATCATAAGATTCCTTGGCAAATTTCACACGTTCTACTGTAAATTTTCATAACCGCTCAGTTTTGTAATAGATAATACAGTTGCATATAGAATTGCACTTGTCTGTCTTTCCCGCTGTTTGTTTGAAGACTGACAAATCAATGGAAAGTTGAAGCAATCTGTGTCCTATGGGCACATTTAAGTGTGGTTGTATGTCAATATGGTGGGGTGTCAGTGTGGTTGTATGTCAGTGTGGTTGTATGTCAGTGTGGTTGAATGTCAGTGTGGTTGGGGTGACAATGTGGTTGTAGGTCTGTGTGGTGGGGTGTCGGTGTGGTTGTATGTCAGTCTGATGGGGTGTTAATGTGGTTGTATGCCAATGTGGTGGGGTGTCAGTGTGGAGGGAAGTCAATGTGGTTGTATGTCGGTGTGGTTGTATGTCCATGTAGTTGTATGTCAGTGTGGTTGAATGTCAATGTGGTTGAATGTCAGTGTGGTTGTATGTCGATGTAGTTGTATGTCAGTGTGGTTGTATGTCAGTGTGGTTGAATGTCAGTGTGGTTGAATGTCAGTGTGGTTGAATGTCAGTGTGGTTGGGGTTGTAGGTCAGTGTGGTGGGTTGTCGGTGTAGTTGTATGTCAGTCTGATGGGGTGTCAATGTGGTTGTATGCCAATGTGGTGGGTTGTCAGTGTGATCGGTTGCCAGTGTGGAGGGAAGTCAATGTGGTTGTATGTCAGTGTGGTTGTATGTAGGTGTGGTTGTATGTCGGTGTGGTTGTATGTCAGTGTGGTTGTATGTCTGTGTAGTTGTATGTCAGTGTGTTGTTGTCATGTGGTCAGTGTGGTTGAATGTCAGTGTGGTTGTATGTCGATGTAGTTGTATGTCAGTGTGGTTGTATGTCGATGTAGTTGTATGTCAGTGTGGATATATGTCAGTGTGGTTGTATGTCAGTGTGGTTGTATGTCAGTGTGGTTGTATGTCGGTTGTGGTTGTATGTCAGTGTGGTTGTATGTCAGTGTGGTTGTATGTCAGTGTGGTTGTATGTCAGTGTGGTTGTATGTCAGTGTGGTTGTATGTCAGTGTGGTTGTATGTCAGTGTAGTTGGGTGTCAGTGTGGTTGTATGTCAGTGTGGTTGTATGTCAGTGTGGTTGTATGTCAGTGTGGTTGTAGTTAGGTGTCAGTGTGGTTGTATGTCAGTGTGGTTGGATGTCAGTGTGGTTGTATGTCAGTGTGGTTGAAGTTAGGTGTCGATGTAGTTGTATGTCAGTGTTGTTGTGTGTCAGTGTGGTTGAATGTCAGTGTGGTTGTATGTCGATGTAGTTGTATGTCAGTGTGGTCGTATGTCAGTGTGGTTGTATGTCAGTGTGGTTGTATGTCAGTGTGGTTGTATGTCAGTGTGGTTGAATGTCAGTGTGTGTGTTGTATGTGGTTGTATGTCGATGTAGTTGTATGTCAGTGTGGTTGTATGTCGATGTAGTTGTATGTCAGTGTGGTTGAATGTCAGTGTGGTTGTATGTCAGTGTGGTTGTATGTCAGTGTGGTTGTATGTCAGTGTGGTTGTATGTCAGTGTGGTTGAATGTCAGTGTGGTTGTATGTCGATGTAGTTGTATGTCAGTGTGGTCGTATGTCAGTGTGGTTGTATGTCAGTGAGGTTGTATGTCAGTGTGGTTGTATGTCAGTGTGGTTGTATGTCAGTGTGGTTGTATGTCGATGTAGTTGTATGTCAGTGTGGATATATGTCAGTGTGGTTGTATGTCGATGTAGTTGTATGTCAGTGTGGTTGGGAGTAAGTGTGGTTGTATGTCAGTGTGGTTGTATGTCATTGTGGTTGTATGTCAGTGTGGTTGTATGTCAGTGTAGTTGGGTGTCAGTGTGGTTGTATGTCAGTGTGGTTGGGGTGACAATGGGGTTGTATGTCGGTGTGATGGGGTTACAGTGTGGTAAATGTCAATGTGGAGGTATGTCAGTGTGGTTGTATGTTAGTGTGGTGGGTGTCAATATAATTGCGTGAAAAAAAGCCGCGTACTAAAAAAGACCGAAATAAACAAGGTTCAACTGCTTAATAATTTACATCATCTTATTTTTAGCTCAACTTTTCAAAGAATTACGCAGGCCAAGACCCACAAATATAACATTGGTCTTAACAGAGTTATGACCCTTTTTGAAGTTATAAAATTCTACATTTTTTACTAACAAACACTGAGAATTGCTGAACAGGTAGTCCTATCAACATCTCATGCTAAATTATTATTACTTTTCTGACAGGTGTAGAAGTATTGTAATAATTCAAAACAAGAGCGATCAGTGATCACATTAGTCGCCTCATGATAGCCAATTTCATGTTGGGACAAGTTTTGTGACAGACGGACAGACAGACGGACAGTGCACAACTAGACTTGGTACTGATCATTCCTGTAAAGTTTGGATACAATTGCACCAGTAGTTTATGAGGAGTAGTCCGGACAAGCTTTTGTGTATCTGGCAACACACAGAAAAAAACACCTTTTTATCAAAGGGCCATAACTCGGCCAAAACTCATTCAACCGGAAAACCCGTGCAATATGCTCAAGGACTTGAGCTACAGATCAATCCTGTAAAGTTTCATTGAAATTGCATGAGTGATATGAGAGAAGTAGTCCGGACAAACTTTAAAAATAAAAATTATTAAAGGGCCATAACTCTGACAAAAATTATTGAACCGGAAAATGCTGACAATATGCACAACTAGACTTGGTACTGATCATTCCTGAAAAGTTTGGATGAAATTGCACCAGTAGTTTATGAGGAATAGTCCGGACAAGCTTTTGTGTATCTGGCAACACACAGAAAAAAACACCTTTTTGTCAAAGGGCCATAACTCGGCCAAAACTCATTCAACCGCAAAAAACCCGTGCAATATGCGCAAGGACTTGAGCTACAGATCAATCCTGTAAAGTTTCACTGAAATTGCATTAGTGGTATAAGAGAAGTAGTCCGGACAAACTTTAAAAATAAAAATTATTAAAGGGCCATATCTCTGACAAAAATCATTGAACCGGAAAAAGCTGACAATATGCACAACTAGACTTGGTACTGATCATTCCTGTAAAGTTTGGATGAAATTGCACCAGTAATTTATGAGGAGTAGTCCGGACAAGCTTTGTGACGGACGGACAGACAGACGGACAGACGGACAGACAGACAGACGACGGAGAAGTGATCCATATATGTCGCCAATACTCTGTAGAGGCGACACAAAAAACGGAATTAACAGCAATGCAAACACTGTTGGAATAAATTGAATGTGAAAAATTATTTCGGCTAATTAATGATCAAATCTAATAAAAAAAAATCAAAATAAATAAATAAAAGAAAATCTAATGTGCCAAACTCATTGAGTCTTGGACACTTATATTCACATGCTATTGGTTTTAAACTGCACATGTTGATTTTATTGCTGATAAAGCAACCGAAATTCGAATGAATTCGAAAGTTTCCGACCCCCCCCCCCCCCCCCCTCCAAAAAAGAAAAACAACCAAATCAACGTTTCAAGTCACGTGACACATTTCGTTACTCCCTATTTTCAAATATAATAATTGAGCATTATATTAAGTATTAACTTATTATCGAAATATTTATTTTTCAACAACATGCGAACATGCCTATCACCTTTTTCCGTATTTTCACTGTATATGTTTATTTTTCACTGCAATGAGATGCATTATTTTCCGCATTACTTCTAGCTGGTGTCTTTTTTTCCATTAACACGGATTAATTTTCATCTTGTGGTATATGGTTGTATCTCTTAACTCCAACAGATGAAGTGGTTTGTTGCTTTAAGTTTGTAAAACCCCAAATGACAATGAAATATAGAGGTAACACATACGCATGTCAATTTATTTTTGTTTTATATTCAATAAAATCATTTCCCTCGGTGTTGCGTTGGAAGTGGTTTCTGTATGCCTTTACAAAGAAATCTATCGTAATTTTATCAAATTTCTCTCTAAATATATAGTGGGCAAAAAAATGACGATAGCCCTTATGTATTGAATAAGCCCACTGAGTTATGACATTCAATTTATTTTTATTCTCATTTTTAACATCTCTTGTATCAGTGAAATAATTAACCAAAGGGTGTTGTCACGATGCCGGGGCTATATATAAGGGTTGATAAATGTTTTTTATTTATTTAATATTTATTTATTTATTTTTTGTTGGGGGGGGGGGGTCTGGACCTAGTTTTGGTCACAACTGACCATGATATAGAGTCCTGCAAGCTGGCACCGTGACAACCCCCTTTCAAATTGAAATTAACCATACTATTTGTAATGTACACATTTATATAAACTAAAAATTGGCGTTGTAAACTTAAAATTAAATGTATTAGCCTAATTACACAGTTTCCTAATTTTTTCAAGAATTCAATAAAATCCCGTTACTTTTGTATCGTGTTAGTATTCATAGCTAGAATTTGATTGGCTTACATTTTTAGCACGCTCTTCTGATTGAATGACAAGTATTTTACAAATCTACGTACTAAATACGTGTACAATGTATATTTCGTAATAAATATATTTGGCGATAGAATGAGAATGATTTTCAGAATTAAAATAAGGACAAATTAAATCTCGCACTTGAACTTGTTATTATGTGTTAACAAAATGATTCATTCGTGGATATGGATGTAGTAAATGACATTGTATACGTCAACGCACGTGCTCGCAAGAAACGGTAAAATAAGCGCGGGTGCAGATACAAGTAGCAATAAATGATACAGTGATCCCGTTTCTGCACGCATGATTGGTCAACAGAGGGTGAGTTACAATTATAGTCAAACAAATAAGAATTTACGTCAAATATATATATACTTACTATATCACTATATATTAAATAAACAGATAAAGTGTCTATTAATTATATGTTATATATATTTCATGATGGAAGTTACTTCTTATTTGTTGCACTACATTTTGTTTTTATTGATACAATAACAAGTTCCTGTGTTTTACTTATTATTTAAGTTGTTGAACAAGTTTATTTAAGTTGTTGCCCTTGTTCCAATACTCACTCTCCTAGAAATTTTCGAAGTATATTTTACTTCTATAATGATAAGTTGACAGAGTCATTTGATATGCCCGAAGGAACTTCGTGCATATTTTGTTATACCCACTGGCGTCCGTCCATCCGTCCGTTAGTAATTTGGTTTCCGGAGCATAACTTAAGTTCCGTTTGGCACACAATGTTCAAACTTCACAGGATGATTGCCGATATATCAACCCCTGTTGATTTTGGGGTAACAAGGTCAAAGGTCAAAGTCACTTCTATCTTAAAACTTAAAAAAACGGTTTCCGGTCAATAACTTAAGTATTTATCAACCTACATGACCAATACATGATCCCTATTGATTTTAGGATCATAACGTCAAAGGTCAGGATCACAATGATCTTTACACTGAAAATTGGGGTTTCTGGAGAATAACTTAAGTTTCATTTGGCCAACAGTGCTAAAACTTCATAGGATGATTGTCAATATTGAGTAGAAGACCCCTATTAAAGTTTAGGTCACAAGGTCAAAGGTCGAAGTCCCAATTATCTTAAAACTGAAAACGGTTTTCGCTCAATAACTTAATAATTAATCAACTCACAGCTGTAACATTTTTATATGTTGAACAGTCATGCCCAATACATGACCCCTTTTAGGGTCATAAGATCAAAGGTCAGGGTCAAATTGACCTTAACACTGAAAATTGTAGTTTTTTGGAGCATAACACAAGTTCTATTTGGCTTTGTTCAAACTGCATTGGATGATTGCCTAAATTGAATATAAGATCCATATCTATATTGGGGCACAAGGTGAAAGGTCAATATCAAATGACCTTAAGATTGTTAACAGTTGTCAACCTTCATAGGATGATCACTTATATTGAGTACATTAATTGTATGCATTAAAAATGTGCTTATATTATGTTATACCCCTGGCGTCTTTCCGTCCATCCGTCGTAGTATTTTAACTTACGAGATAACAACTTGATGGAGGTGCTTTGGAAACAGCAACTGTACATATATGTATATGAAGGTTCTTCATCTATAAAGGAGGATTTTTTTTTGAAGGAGGTGATACTTTATTTTATTCCCATGTTTTACAAATGCTCCATCCTTACTTAAAAAAAACACACTTTCGGGCATATAATGCTCCGCCTAGCGGTGCTCTTGTTTTATTTAAATACATTTCTGTCTCGTTCCTGCACGCAACATTGGGCAAATATCTCGTTCCGTTGCATGTAAACTATGACCATACCGTCAGCATGGCTGACCTTGAAGCGTGACCGTACTGCATGAGCAATGAGTGTAAAGTGTATTCCTTAAGAATACAACGGCTTGCACCTGACGGGGTTTGAACCCGCATGTTTAAAGGCCCTTAAGTCTCTAGTCTGAAGCGTTACTCCCTCGGCATCTGGTTTTTGTTTGGCTTCATAGCATTTTGAGCCTTTCATGGTATTCTTGGTAAAGCCATTAATGATATGGAGAGGCGTTTAAACTGACCTTTCTTATCTGCTTAAGGTGACAACAGACACTTTCCGTGGTAATCACATAAATGTCATTTAAACCAACTTATTTTAGTAATAATTGTTATTTATTTAATCTTTATGCATTAAATGTCGTTGATCATCATAAAAAATAACATATTTGAAAAAAATGTCTTTGTAAATGATTGATTTTTAATAAAAATCCTAAAATTTTAAATCGTCATATCAAAGTCATTTTTTATTTTTTTGTCATCAAACTTTTGGAAAATAAACATACTTATAATATCTGGGGAACCGTGTCTCAAATTTTGTCTATCTTTTCTCAAAAAAATATTACGTAACGTCAAACATTTTATGCGACTTTTTTCACCATACATATTACGTAATTAAAGATAATTAAGTCGCTGATTGAGCAAACAAAAATCCCTGACACGGTTCCCTCCGTAAATGAATTCCCTTTCATGTGCTTTAAACCGCATGTTAATTGCTTGATTATTAAAAAAGTTATGCCGATTCAAAGTTAGTCCGATCCGCATCAAACGAAGTGTCATAAATTGGCTGTCTCTCTCGGACCCCTACGTTTCACGCTAAATAATTACATAATACACAAATATCGCACCCAGTGACATCTGACCAATTAAAAAGTTGCTGATTAATATCAGTTTATAACAGAAATTTCTTCACATCTTAACGTGATTTACCGTTAGTCTGGTATGGGTTGCACATGTCACGTGACTTTCGGTAAAATTTGAGGCACTCGGTGGGGGGAAATGGGACGTATTTGTGCACCGCTAGCGGGGTATTTAATTGTTTCACATTTGAAGTTTATTATTATTATCATCAGCATATTATTATATTATACCAGTGTCACTCTATCTGTGTACTCGTGTATGAAATTCCGTTAAAATATAAATTAAAATAACAAAAAAACTGAGCTTCTGACAGTATTTTAAAGTCCATGGTAGATGTACAAATAAGAACGGGATTTTATATATTTTTTCCTCCAAATTGGTATAAATGCTTCACATATTCTAATAGAAATAAAAGGTATCACTCGATCATTATGATCTGACCTTCTTGACTTCTATTATCATGAAAATCATCTATGCACGGCATAGAGATCCAGTTTCTACTGGGATATACAATAAATTCCAAACTTTCTCCCAGGTTTATTAGTACTGTGTTCGATTTACTAGCGAACAATTTATTCAAAGCATTCACTGATAATTTATTTTATTATCTTTTTTTATTGATTCATAGAGAAATAATCATCCTTAGACAACCTAAAATGGTTTAGAAATTTGTCAGGGAGACCTTACCACAAGTCATATAGGCGTTCACATAAAAAATGTTGTCTGTTTTTGTTGTTGTTTTACTTGACATTGTTAGAAAACGAGGTTGAATGTAAAGCAAGCCCTTGAATCCGTACAAAAGTCCATAAACTCAATGTAAGATCTATCAGATTAACGGGACAGACAAATTATTTTCACACATTATGGATATTTTAGCAACTATATTTTTAGCTCGACTTTTCTATGAAAAGGGGAGCTATCCTACTCGCCCCGGCGTCGGCGTCGGCGTCGGCGTTAGCGTTAGCGTCGGCGTTGGCGTCACACCTTGGTTAAGTTTTTCGTACCACCCCACTTTATTTCAGAAGTATTACAAGTATGGCTTTGAAACTTACCATACTTGTTCACCATCATAACCTCCATCTACAGACAAGAGTACATAACTCTGTCAAGGTTTTTGACAGAATTATGGCCCTTTTTTGACTTAGAAAGTGTATTGAGCTTGGTTAAGTTTTTTGTACCACCTCACTTTATTTCAAAACCATTGGAGGTATTGCTTTGAAACTGACCATACTTGTTTACCATCACGACCTTCATCAACAGACAAGAGGACATAACTCTGTCAAGGTTTTTGACAGAATTATGCCCCTTTTTTGACTTAGAAAATACATTGAATATGGGTAAAATCCACTTATTGCCTTAACCCTTTGAGATATTGCTTTGAAACTTTTAATGCTATTTCACATCATTACCCCCATCTGTACGCAAGAGAAGGTAACTCTGTCAAGGATTTGTTTTAAAAAATTAAGGCCTTTTATCGACTTAGAATCTTGGTTAAGTTTTTAGTACCAGTCCACTTTTTGACTGAACTGTTTGAGATATTAATTTGAAAGTTGGAATACTTGTTTACAATCATGATTCCCAAACATGTCCAGGAGAAGGTAATTCTGTCAAAGATTTTATTTGAATTATGGCCCTTAACTGTCAATGTTTTGTATTATAGGCAAGCACTAAAAAACTCAACTCAGTTTTTTTTTCTTTCTTACCAGCCCTCTTTTGACTTAAACATTTCAAACTTTGCTGCAGTGTTCAAGGGTATCACACAATTCAGTAAAATAATTCTTCACTAAATATCTTAATGCTCATGGCCATTGTTCACTTTAAAAATACAGAGATTTTTGTATTGCCTTTTACTGCAAAAACTTTTTTTATTGGCAAGCAATAAAAAAGTCGAGCGCGCTGTCTTACGGACAGCTCTTGTTAATCAACCCCGTGGTCGTGCGATTTGTCGCTATGCTTAGTTATTTATGTTTCATACATTATGTTACGTACATTGGCCGCCAATTTCTTATTTTATAAAAAAGGCTAAATAAAAGGTAGACGATATTCATAAAAGATGTACGGTATTTGTACGATACATGAATTACGAGTAGTATGGACCAGTATGGACCGGTAATTCACGCATATATGGAACTACCGATTACCCTCATTGATGCCTCAACAGGGGGCGGAGCGTTATCGATAATTGACAGGTTACGCGATAGCAGATAAAAATAGTACAGGTACCGTTTTAAAACGTTTAAAAACACATTTTTTTGGACTAACTGCTTCCAAAATTAAATCACGAATGTGTTCAGAAAAGGTTGATAAATATACTAAGCAAAAAATCTCATTTTAGGTATTTTCAGTGATAATTGACTCCGTTGTCACCTTAAAGAACAAACACTCAATTTTCTTGAAGGTTTATTTAAAGAAATATAAAATAAAAATAGTATAGAAACAACAGGCACAATCTGTAACATATTGCAAACTACATGTATATATTTTCAAAGTATAAAGTGTTTATAATACAAAAAGGACGTTTCTTTACAGTTCTTCTTGATTGAAATGGGCATTCCTTACCACAAATTCATGTAAATTGTACACCGCAAAGCACGAGTTTCATTATGCCAGTTATTGTTAATTTTTTTTTTTTTGAAATCGGATTTATCCGAAAGATGAGGTACTCCGAGTTTGCATTCGGCTCTGTCCGTATTATAACGTATTCTTTATATATCACAACAAAATGCCATTTTACGGATGGGCCATTCCCCTATAAAAGTTGTGCATGACTCTTATATATACATTGTATATAATATTATAAATACAGTAGATTATATCAACAATAATATCTACAAAAGCTTGATAAATTAATCTATATAGGACTGTAAGAAAGTACAAAAATGAAAAAAATAAAAGTTTACTGATCAATATTTCAATGAAGTGATTTCATTTCATGAATTGATCAGCAAAAGAAGTACAGTAAGCCATGACTATTAATGACTCCCTCTCTCTGTCTGTCTGCCTCACCCCCGCCCCAAACCCTCGGGCGGACAAATATTACCCCAGCGCTATATTGGACAATCTTGGTAGATAACATTGTGTACAGTTTTCTTGAAAGTAGTTTTCTCCGGCCATTCTTAGCTTTTAACCACGGTTGCATCATTTTCCCAATATCTGCAAAACTCCCCAAGTATAGTGAACAAGATGTAGTATAACTGTATATATAAAAGTGACTACATGCTGTATTTTAACTGATTCAAGGCAATTTTGTTTATCATTTCTTTTTATGTAATTGTGTGATTGTGTGAGTGTTCGAATTGTTCGCTCGTGAACTTCGTGCAATATTCTTGTATGAAACATTGATGATGATGATGGTGATTCTAGCATGAAAGATCTACACAAATATTTCCCTCCTTAAAGACAGGTGAACGATATCCCCCGCTCAACTAGATCCTATCCAGCTGCCGTTACGCCCCAAAACCCGAGACTAATCAAGAATGATATGCATTCTTATGTCAAATGCAAAAACAAAATGACATTTTTTATTACATAATATTCTATCCGGATCAGGCTTTTACATTTTACATACGATTGAACTAAAATGAAAAGAAATCGCATTGGTATAGAATAAAATGTCTGCGACTTTTCTTTAAAATAGTCACAGTCTATCTACACGTCATTTCTTCTTTTCCTTTTAGTTCAACCATAGTTAAATCAGTTTCAGCAGATTAATATGTATATGTGTGTTAAAAAGACCCAACTGAGGTGTTAAGACATGAAGGAACTGTCGTAATTTGTCGAGATTTATGTTCCATTTGATGAAGATCTAGACTTATAATTTGTGTGCAAAAAATCGGATCATTAGCTCACTCCGTTCTTCCAGAATAATCATTCTAATTGTGAAGAATGACCCAAAATTTAAAAGCGTTGCAACGCTTTTTACTGAACTTGGGCTAAAATAGCGCACAAATGCGATTTTCGATTTATTACTGAGTGTATTTCTTTTGCATATCTTTCTGTTTAAAATGCCCCAGTTGATCAATGTTAGAAATTCAATTTTTTGGACCTCAGTGGAGTTCCTTTAAACATACACATAATAACCACAATCGATCAAGGAACAGAGAAATCGCGTTACTGTCAATATTGGGCATTAGTGTAGGACCATTGTTGTTATTGCCATTAGTAAAGTCATCATGCCAGCGAGAAGTGCTGCTGCACCGCTGCTGCAGTCTGCGACAAGAACCCAAACCGTTGTTGTTCCAGTAAGCGAAGAATCGTCGGCGTGGAGCACGAGCTTGTATCCACCAACTGTTGCGGCATCCATGGCATTTAGTGTCTTGATCCTACCGGAAGTGTTGATTTCGAAGTCAGTATCTGTGTTTCCGCCTGTTGAAAAATGAATTAAGCATATAAATATATATTTATTTTCACATTTAGAGACTATGGTGTACAATAAGTAATAGCGTAACGTACATACTACCTACGTTATTGTAGTCCGTTTCATTATTTTTTTTTTACAAATATGAATCTAATGTAATTGCCAGAGGTGTCCATGCTCTATGGATTGATGCCGGAGCTAAACGTTATTTCATCTTAGCTGGTGAACTTTATAACGTTGCTCTAGAAAAATACATCGTACATGAATTTTGAACTCAAACTTAGTGCAATCCGAGATCGTAAATTTTGCAAAATGTTTAAGATCGAATTTCGGTCAATATAAGGATCCAGTTATATGCAATTTTGACTAGATTTTGCCCGGGTGGAAATCTGGACGCGCCCATTTAAGATATTAAATGTGGTACATAAAGACTAGAATTATTTTACATATGGCGACGATTTGTTCAAGAATGCGTGATGCATGATAAATATGTACAGTATATGCAAAAAGTTTTAAGATTTGATCGGAACAAACCGACGTCAAGCCCCTGAAATACGTCTTTCAACATTAAGACTGTTCTGCCTGTAATAGTTCTATATACTTACTATCAATAGAATATGTTAAGCTTCCGCCGTTCACCGCATCCGAGGCTGTTAAAGTGGTCAATGTTGTTCCTGCATGTTAAATAGAAAATGTTAAGGGTAAACACGAATTAATTCGACAAATTCCGCCATTTTCCGCCACCTTATATACATTGTTCTAGGTCTTAATGACATAATTATATAAGTCAGAGATTAGGAAAAAAAAATATGAATTAAATTGATAGGATATTAATACTTCAGAAACATAATAAATTAAGCAGACAGAGATCTGGAAAAACAATTGGCCTTAACAGAAGAGTTGTTTCTTATATTATACTTTTTTCTACTTTTTGTTCATATAAATGTAAAAATAAGGTATGGTGTCTGAGTTATGTGCTATTCTTTAGACGACATATATAAATGATCCGCGTCACGACAAAACCAACACAGTGCGTTTGCGACCAGCATGGATCCAGACCAGCCTATGCATCCGCGCAGTCTGATCAGGATCAATGCTGTTCGCTATCATATTCTCTACTTCTAATAGGGTTGGTAAGTGAACAGCATGGATCCTGATCAGACTGCGCGGATGCACAGGCTGGTCTGGATCCATGCTCGTCGCAAACCCATTATGTTGGTTTTGTCGTGACGCGGCTCATTGATGTAATTCTTTACGTACCGGCGGCCGCTTTATCAGCAATACATTTGCCGTAATTAGTAGCTGCAAAAGCCGGTTTGTCATTTACCGACAACGTGACTGTGGCAGTGACCGTTCCAGCACTGTCTGTAGCTCTGAAAACATATTAATATTTTATTATCTTTTCATCAGTTTCAATAGCCAAGCTAATATTGTTTTCTTTTTTATCATGTAATAAGTTATTAAGACCTTTGGTTGCGAAAATTGTAAAAGGCGAAAGCGTTATATGACCAAAGCCGTTAGGTGATGGTTATTTAATAAACAATCGTTCATGCAAGTCATGTTTAATGAATTGATAATGCAGCGCAATTATTATTTCTTTTTATCATTATTATGTATTAATTTTATTATGGTTATTCTTTTTTATTTTGTTCAAGAAAAAAAATAATCAAAATATTTTACAGAAGCTGTGTATGATTTTTTTAAAAAGGTTATTTTTGGGTGTCCGTGCCCGAGCAGTTATTTCCTTGACCTTAATTAAACCACTTGCCCCTAGCTGCTGCGGGTTCAAATCCAGGGAGTGTCTTTACATGTTTTGTGTGAGGTAGCTATGCAGCTAGTCTACGGACTCTATCAGTCAATTTGGTCCTATACTGTGCCTGTTTGTTTGTTTGTTTGTTTCATTTTACGCCTTTTCCCAAAAAGTATTTCAGTCACATAGGCGGGTAGTTTCCTAACCATCGTTCCTGGAGAGTTACACTAGTACTAGACTACCTTCCTCCGTGCTAAACTACCAAAGCATCTCCCGGGGATCGAACCCCCGCCAGAGAGGTAACTGGATTAGAAGTTATCGACTCTAGCCCCTCGACCACGGAGGCGGTACTACATGTATAATTTGTCGGTGCGGCATAAAACACAACAAATCAAATGACAGGTTATATGGTCATATATCAACTGGCTGTTTGCAACATAACCATCGGTTATATAAGATTACAAAAATAAAATTGACATTATATTATTGTATACAGTGTAATTTTATTTTACTTACGATATAACCAGTGTGTAAACAGAGTTAGTAGAGTAGGTTAATGTCCCGCTAGATATGGTCAGAACTCCTGTGTTGGCGATAGCAAAGACCACATCGCTTGGGGTCTGAGACACTTTTGTATACGCCGTAATAGAAGCGTCCGACGTTGCTGCAATGGTTATTCCCGTTGCACTTGTTGCCCCGTCGTCGACCTTGGTAGCAAGAGCGCCATTTCCTCCATCTGCAGTTGCGATAACTGGCGTTGCCCATGCACTTATTGTGCACTCTGTAATCATAGAATTGAAAAGAAATATTACGTCGCAGTTTTACTGTACATTTTTGGTGTTTCTTACAGTTAAAATGAAGGGTTTTTAAAATATTTGCTGTAGTCTTCATACGTCGAAATAGAAACGTGAACAAAAAATAAAAATAAAAACAACGTCTAGCGGTTCATTTTTAATGGTGGAGTTTGTTTTTAGGCGGTAGTGATAATTTTTAATATTTTATTCGGAAAGAAACATATAAATGTTCATCACCAAAATACATATATACAATGGTATAACATACAAGTACAATGAAAACATATGAATTAATTCTGACAATGACAAAACAATAAGACACTGTAAGCTGGAACAGATTGGTCGATGACAATATAATATTTAGGTTGAATATTGAGTCTAAGCTGTCTGTAAAAATGACATACTAAACGGAAATGATATTCATTTTCTATACTATTACAATAGTGCACATTTATTTGCTTCTTTTAATGTTACTATAGCTCGCTTCTTTAATAGCTATTTAATAGGACATCTTAATCTAGAAAAATGCAATCAACCGTTTAAGACCCCTAACACGGACTTTATTAAATACAGAAATGTTGAATTTTTAAGTTTCTTTTTTTTACTATTTATAAAACAGAATCTTAAACATTTGTAATGTTGATCAAAATTAATATAACCAATGCATTTTGGTAGATATGGTAAAAATTGGTAACCCATGCATAACAAATTAAACTCCAATTCGAAAAAGAATGACTAGAGTTGCAAAGCAGCATTGTCCAAGATTCACGCACTATTTAACTAAGTATTGACACTAATAAATAAAATTATACATTGTAAGTTATAACACGGGTCTTGGTGCTATCCGGTCCACAACGGCTTTGAATTATGACAATTATAATATTAAATAAAAAAAGTTTATTATATACTTGTAAATGAAATATTGAGAAATATTGATGAAATGAAATCCTTTTATTTTCCATATTATATTTTCACTGTAAATAAATATTTTCACTTTAGTGAAACATATTTTCCGTATTTATACTGGTGTCTTTCCGGACTACTTTCTTACTAAACAAAAAATTAAATGGGATTTCTTCCAATTCATTAGTTTAAAAAAGAGATAAAGTATTATAAAAAATAACAGAAAATTCAAGTTTTTCCTGTAAATACTGGATTTGTTTTCATCTTATGGTATGAAAATTATCATATTTCACTCATGGCTACAATCACTCGTGAACTTTTTATTTTTATACCATTCTATTAAAATAAATCCTGTATCTATAGAAAATTATGAATATTCTCTATGTAATAGCACTTTCCTAACTGAGAATGATTTTTTGGGTAACAAAGAAAAGTGTTATAAGTAGATAAATAATAATAATTAATTATGATAAATATATAAAATTCAATCAGTGGAGATGCATAAACTTTGCAAAATGTTGTACATTCTTGAAAAAAATTCCTAAACATACTTGCTTATTTAAAATTTTCAATAAGTTTAAAAGGCATATTAGGATGCGCATTTTACTTACATAAAAGTATTAAAGAATATAATCAGATAAATATGGTATGAGATTTTATTCTGACAAGCACGATTTAATGTAAAACATATGGAGAAATTCAACTTAAATATTTTTTTCTTTCTTTTTCTTTTTTTTTTCTTTTTCTAAAGGTATTTGTAGTATAATATTTGTTAAAAATGATGAGCTTTTAATTTTCGATCAACATTTTTATTGGTAAATTAAAAACATCAAATAAAGTAAAAAATGCAAAAGAAATAAAATAAAAAGAAAGAATAAAATATAAATTTTCAGCATTTTCAATATAAGAAAGAAATCAACTGAAGAATCTTACCCCCATATTGGAATAGCACCGCTATCACAGTCACTAAGAAAATACTTTTGGAGCCCACAATCATTTTTTCCGTTTTTTCCTATGAAAACAACTTTAATAACGTTTAAAAGATCTCAACCGGTCGACCTTTTCGGTGAGGAATGCGCGCAATTGTGTCAGTATCCACCCGTATTTATACCAGCAGCAGATCTCGTTACTATGGTCACTAGATAAACCAAAACATTGACAGCAATGACCGACCAGGTTGCCATGTCTCCTGTCCTCGCAACAAAGCCAATAAGTGAACTATTCATTGCCACTGTGTACAACTGTTAATGGCATTGACAGGATGCAGTCATTTGTACTGGGCTGGTTGAAATTACGTCACATTTTGATAGGAACAACCCGGTAAGCACCGTATTTTTTCGGTAAGAGAACTCAAGTGTGAATTATCCAGATAATTGTGTTAACGGTATTGTTTGCAATTTAATTTTTAATAAATATATAGATCGTTTTCATAGAGACTGGCATTTTAGAGTCATTAGTTTCCCTCTAATCTTTTCATTGGTTAATGTAAATGTTAGACTGCTCTATTACACGGATTGAAGTGGATAGTAAAGTTATTTTTTATACATAAATGCACAATGAAATTATCAAATTATATAATTTCACTGTAGCCGAAATATATATATGAATACGTATGAAAGGAATATAACTGAATGGAAATTACTAACATGTATTATGGGAAAATATAAATATAAAATAGGAGTATTTGTGCAGATTATGTTTTAACTGTATTAAGGAGTTTTACATGAAATCTTTTACGTCAAAATTTGATCACGTCATGAAGTAGAACGCATAACATTACGCGTGAAAAAGAATGTCAAAATAACTCAAAACCATTCACTCTGAGTACTATATTTAGATCTTGCATGCAAAACAAACACATTTCCACTATGCAATTATGATTATAATGAAGAAAGTAATAATAATAGTAATAATAATAGTAATTATAATTTACCGCTTATTATTTGAATACATGAGTATTTTCGTCATTATTTGTCGTTAACGGTGTTCCTTACAACAAAAACTAAATCTTAAGAAAAATACTAAAAACAACACGTCACTACTTAATTTTTTTTAATAACTTCGATTTTACAAATTTTTTACATGATTTTTTTTAAATTTAATTAATTTAATTTTTTTTTTATTTTATTTTATTATTATTTTTTTTTTTTGGGGGGGGGGGGGGGGGGTTTCTCACAAATCTAGATAATCAGTGCATGATCAAATGCAACAGCATCTTAACAACAGTGCAAGTTATTTACCTTATAACAGGTGCTCCAAAATGTCGGTGCCACCCCTGTATGCATTACAGATTACGAACAATGCATTTTTCATCTGCCTGTTTGGTTCAAGTTTTAAGTCTAAATCTAAATTTGTCGTTTGTATACGACACAGAAACAACTCTTACAAAATGTTTTTTTGTGTGTGTTAAATTCAAGGGAAGACTCTTATTTTGTATAATTTACAAATATTTGGCAATAAATAAGGGTATTAATCGGATATGGTTATATGCAGTTATGACGTCTGAAATGATACATCGAGACAGGTTATATGGCCCTATACGGTTGTTTGTAAAATTTAATATAACTCGACCCCCCTTATATAACATAGTGCTATGAAATAGAATATCATATTCGTGTAGAGGCTCGCATATGATTTTATTTCACTCGTTCAATTTAGTATTAAATCTGCTATCATTCAATATCCTCTATGTACATGGTAAAATATGCTTTGAACGAACATCTGATTGAAATTCAAATTATACCTTTTCACTGACAAGCCATGCACTGTCTGTCCGCACACTGGTTTCACAGGTTGTACGCCGTGGTTTTCTTTCAACTTTTCTGCTTCAGTGGAACAGCAACAGGACCTTGTCATGTGTTGATGACTATGCAAAAAAATTTACAAACGAAGATTCTGGAGAAGTATCCACGATACATTGATTTATAGATTCTTATCGATGATGTCTTGATATTTTAATGTGTAGGTGATAATGTATAGATAAGCTGTATATAACTATTATGACTTTTTTAGCGAGTGACCTAATCATGAATTACCACAGTTAACAAAGTGGAGGCCAGTACGGAATTCCATAAACGACAGCCTACTGTTTACTGTCAACTGCCTACTGTCAACTGCTTACTGTCAACTGCCTACTGTCAACTGCTTACTTTCAACTGCTCAATGCTTACAGCGACTGTTTACTGTTTAATGCTTACTGTTAATTGATAAATGCCAACTGTTACACCTGTCTAATACCCGATTAATTAATTGCCTGAAAGTAAATGACGGCTTTTTATGTCCTTCTCCCAATGTGTTTATATGTTACAATGAGGCCGTTTGAAACAGTATTAGTCAAGTAATTACTCTGTATCATTTATGAAGACATTAACTGAAACCTTGGAACTTGTTACATTTATACATGTTTGTTTGTTTGTTTGTTTGATTTGGGTTTTACGTCACACCGATACAGTATAGGTCATTTGGCGACGTTCCAGCTTTACTGGTGGAGGAAGACCTCAGGTGCCCCTCCGTGCATTTTTCGGTGCACGAACGGGCACCTGAGTAGAACCACCGACGTTCCGTTAGCTAGCTGGATAGCTTCCTGACATGAAAGAATCCAAAGTCCCTGTCGGGATTCGAACCCACAGCGGTGAGGGGCAAGTGGTTTGAAGTCAACGACCTTAAATACTCGGCCACGAACGCCCTTATTTATACATGTACATGTATAATTCTCGTTTTACTAAGCAGAAAAATAAGTATATATCTTTGCAGGCATCTGGAACTTTTTCCAGTCATAGACCTGTAAACTTTATAAAAATGTTATCAAACTAAATATTACAAGTTTTTCTGTCATTAAATCTTTTTCGGTAATTTTGAGCTAACAAATATAACTGCTTGCTTAATTATTTATACATGTTTATTCCTGTTTAAGTTGAGTTACATCTACCATATAACATGTATATTATAATATTTGTTCATTGAATCATATTGACCCTACCCTATAACTATAGAGCTTAATGATATTTTTAAACTGAGGCCTTGTAATGTCATCACAACGGTCAGTTTTATGTTCGTATTTTGAAAATAATGCTATAATGTTTCTAGATAATGAATGGTGCTTAAAACATAGATATATAGAGTTTCAGACACAATTATATATTTCAGCACAGAAGGCGCTGAATTTGTTTGGGTCTCAGAATGTCAGAAAGGTGAAGGTTGTGAGATTATAAACCAATTTGTTTTTGTATAGCCACCGGTGCTTTCCAGCGTTGTGACGACCCAAACAAATAACCAGTCACGTCTCGAATTACCAGTAGTTTATTCCGTACTGGGACAGTATACACACTTCATGGTCCAAATCATACATGGAACCGTTTAGTTCTATCTAAAAAAGTTCATACTTGTTCTGGTGATTGTAGACCGTACATGTATACCTTAATTCTACAAAGCCTTAGATTTGACTCAAGAAAATGTTACTTTAGTAGATGTTAAAAACTTATTCGACAGATCGAAGCATGATGACTAACATGTCAATTATTGTGTTATAATTGGCAAGTAATATTAAAATCATTAAATCTCTTTGAGTTACTTGGGCATTATTATTACAAAGTGACGTTAGTATTTGTTTAACGATATGATGAACTGCGGCATCCTAAATTTGAGTCAATGTAATGTCTTCCGCATGCAATTTCTTAGTTTTTGCAGTATTGCCTCTGTTACATTATGATTTTTATAACTTATGAACCTTAGGATAGAAAACAGATATATTGCTGGACGTCCGTAATTTTATTTCATTGTCTTAAGAAAAGAGTGTTTTAGGTTAACTTGTAAATCTGTTTTGAAGAAAAATATTCAGATAACTTGCCAGATATTGGAGCTGCAGGTGTATTTCTTATGGAGATATATCGTAATCTTGATCTTCCTAATGCATACTTTTTGCGATCCCATACATTAAAAATTGATGGACTAAGACACTGTTTAAATGTGGACAATGTTGATTTTTTTTTCCAAATTGGTCATGTTACAACATTCAACAAACAAACTTTGCTTTATGGTTATCATATATATAACCATTAACATTAACCATTTTCAATTCATTTTGTTATAATTTTGTTTTCCTTGGGGGGGGGGGGGGGTAAACATAAACAAAATTACAAGAAAATTATGACATTTTATTTCTAAAGAACTTTTTTTATTTTCAATTAAAACGAAAACAAAATACACTTATTGATAATAACACCACATAAAAAGTATGTTTAGACCAGTAATCTAATATTTTTTTTGTATACGCCGTTATTTAAAATAAAAATTATGACACGCCTGTAAAAAATCAAAATCTATATAAATTTTTTCGGGGAAAGCAATTAATATAAAAGCAGAATTATAATTAAAAGTTCTGTTATGAATTATATAATTGTTATATATTAATGAAAATATCTCTGCAATATAAAGTGATATACACGTTGTAAGAATGGTAACTTAAAAATGCTTCACATCTCTACACTATCACGATGTCTTAGAACTGTTTACCTTAGTTGTCAGACCTTTAAAACCCTAACTTTCATTGGATGATTCTGGCAAATACGAAGGCAGATTTGCTCATTTTTACTTGCGGTAATTGCAAAAAGAAATAGAAACAATAACCAACCTTAAAGTTCACTTTTAAGTGTGTTTGTTAACAAGATACATGTAATTATAAAAATTATATAAAAGATGGATTTAAAAAACACGTCAAAAAAAATATATTGTTACATTAACATGATCATTTTGTCTATCAGAAATGTTTACGTAAATTTAAATAGTTAAGAATCTATTATTTCTCAGGGTTTTTCAATAGCACAATTGAATTTAAACAAGAGAATAACGATGGCTTTTCATAAAAGTAAAATAAGCTGGTCCAAACTGTAATTTATCACTTCATGTTCGCACTCTTTATGTCATTGAAATATTGAACGTTTTTGAAACAATTTGAATACAGCCAGGTTTGTCTTTGTTTATGCTTTCAGAAGGAAGCCGAGTTAAACTCGCCTATAAGAACCAATACATTTATGTATTCCTTTTCCTCTTCCATTGTAATTTCAATATTTTCATACAGATGTATTGGTTCTGTTACTTGTCTGTGA